AAAAATATTATAGTTGTATTTTTTTAAATGGAACACCCTGTATATTATTCTATTTTTGGATTCTACGATTGAAATAAAGGTAAATTTGATTAAGGTTTATCACACTTAAACCTTACCGTTTTTGAAATATTTTCAATTTTATGAAATTGCAGTAAAAAATTTAAGGCTTTATTTTTCCAAGGGTATCAAAGTTTTTAATACTAAATATTTACTGAAGGTTATTTATTGATCAGATATTGTGTTGCAATAATAAAAATGTTACTACCTTATACAGAGTGTCCAAAAATTTATATTAAATAATTACTAGCTTTAAACCGCAATAACTTGTTTAATTTAAATGGAACGCCCTATATATTTTACGTGAATCAAATGCACAACGTAATTGTCTATCAAATTATATTATATCATTTTTTACGCATCTCTTCAAGTTTTCGTAGAAAATGCATTTTCTTACAATTTAGACCTCATTTATCACTATACCCATGAAATATTGACATTTCCGATTTTTTTGAAGCACCATAATATGTACAAAACGTACAGGTGGTAAATATTGCAAGCCTATTGGCATACAAAAAAACTAATTAAATCTTTGTAAAAGAGTATACCAATTAAGTATACCACCATTATTTCCTACCAAAAACACCAAAAATTAGTTAATTACATACCTTTAAATTGTTTTAATTAATAAAATATTCTAAATAAATGTGGATTTGGCTCAGAAATCAATATAATAATAAGTTATGAAAATGAATGTCTCTGTTTTTATAAATAAGCATTCGTCAATAAATGAAATAAAATTTATAAGATGTTACTTTTTACCACACTGTCTAATACACACACAAAATTCAGTTTTTTAGTATTTGGAGCAATTATTACTACAACGTAAACAGTCAATTAAACTAGTTTAAATACTGGGATCATATTAATTGGTCCTCTTTAACAAAAAATATTTAAACAGTTGTTTTTTTATTTTTTAATTAAATAAGCGAACTATATCGACAATATTAGTATCTGTACTCTTTGAAAATTTATTATCTTTAAAAATGAGCTAAAATGTCAATATTCCATGGGTATAGTGATAAATGAGGTCTAAATTATAAGAAAATGCATTTTCTATGATAACTTGAAGAGATGGGTAAAAAACGAAACAATACAATTTGATAGACAATTACATTGTGCATCTGATTCACGTAAAATATATAGGGTGTTCCATTTAAATTAAACAAGCTAGTAATTATTTAATATAAATTTTTGGACACTCTGTATAAGGTAGTAAATTTTTTTTTATTTCAACACAATATCTAATCAATAAATAACCTTCAGTAAATATTTAGTATTAAAAACTTTGATACCCTTGGAGAAATAAAGCCTTAAATTTTTTACTGCAATTTCATAAAATTGAAAATATTTCAAAAACGGTAAGGTTTAAGTGTAATAAACCTTAATCAAATTTACCTTTATTTCAATCGTAGAATCCAAAAATAGAATAATATACAGGGTGTTATATTTAAAAAAAATACAACTATAATATTTTTTACTTATTTGGGACACTCTGTATCTTGTAAAATTATTTTTATATTGTAGCTCTAATAGTCCTTCAACGAACCCAAAACTTACAATTTGTAAAAATCTAATCGTTTAGCTACAATACTCCGTGTCGTATGTGGTGAACAACCCTGTATACTTAACTTTTTAATAGATTTTCAATTAAGTCTGTGAAGTTGCTAATAAAATAATACACTTTGTGCCTTATAACTATATTGTTATATAGCTTCTTTTATAGTGTAGTTAGTTACATTTTCAAGCTTGCTAAATTGGTTTTCTTGGTATTTTTGCAACTAAGAACAGTGACATAACAAAATATTTCTGATAAATGTAGGTATAATACGATGAAAAAAAAGCGTCCAGTTAGCATGTAAATGACGATCGATAACCAGGGGCGGATACAGGAATTTATTTTAGGGGGGCCCAAAAAAAAAGTCACGTAGAATATGCTTTTTAGGGCGCCATTTTTAACTCAAAAGGCTAATATTTAACCAAATTTACAGATTTTAGGGGGGGGGGGGCCCATGGGCCCCCCTCTGTATCCGCCACTGTCGATAACATTCCCCATAAAATTTTACATATAAAATGATGACGATTTTCATTTCCATGACATAGTTTGTGATTAGATATCTGATTGATATAGAATAATCAGATATCTAATATCTGATTGAAATTATCTCAAGTTTTTTCTAGAATGCCGAGGACTTTGTGAACCTGCCCACATCGAACTTCTCCAAGATCAAACTCACGTGATGCTGCACGAGTACTGCGCTCAAAGACAGGCCCATCCAAAAGGTCGATTTGGGAAACTTCTTTTGACTCTTCCGGCTGTCCAATCTATATCCAGAAAGGGATTGGAAGAGCTACTATTTAGACAGACTGTCGGGGATGTTGCTATTGATAAGCTGTTAGGGGACTTGTCAAGAGTGACGTATAATTAAAAATGTTTATTGTGATGATGTCTAGTCAATTCTGTGGTGGTGTGCGATTGTTAATGAAGAAAAATAAATTGTTTAAAAATAATGTCTTATTTTTAATTTGATGAAGTACTAAATGTTGCTGCCCTTGATCAAGTATTAAATACTATATAGCTCAGTCAGTTCAGTCAGAGCACCAGTCTCGAGAGTTTATATAGGTACTCGGTTGGTATTGATCAAGTGTGACAAAATCAGCCAAGCGAGATAAAACCAATTAAGCGTAAAAATAAATTACTGGAACTAAAGCAATAGAGGAATCAGAGGAAGTGCAAGGAATTGGATCTTTATATCTGTTCATATTGTCTTTACATTTATTTATTTTTACACTCTTATATGCATCGAATTGTCTGTAATTTGAGATGTGTTAAGTTAAAATGATCAATTTTAAATTATTACCATCTATACAATGATCTTTATCAAACATATTTTAGGCAATACACAATTAAATATTTATTATACTGGGTGCGTCTCAAAAGTGGCTCACCCCTATAATTTTTTTTATATAAAAATACGAGATTTGTTATGTTAGTATACGCCATAAATTAGGATTGATATTGTATTCAATTGTTTTTGGTCACTTCCTGTTTCACCGGAAATGACCACAACTTTTGATTATTAAATGGCACTTCGGTATATTTTGGTAAAACTTTTGACATTTTTTGCTTAAAAAATAATCGTATCTTAAATTTCAATCTAGAGTGCTTTGGCTGTGTTAAATACACTAATTTTTAATAAAGGAGCCTTGGAAAAATATATTTGATTATTATTTTTCGTGTCTTGTCCTGGCCGGTTAAAAGATGCCCAAATTGTATTTTTAATCATATCTCAATTTTTTCAAATGGAACAAGGATGGCTCATTTACGAATATTTTGGTACCACATACTTGGTATTTCGAGTCAAATTGTCATTATGAACCGCATGTTACAATTTCAAATCAACAAAATGCGAAAATGTCAAAAGTTGACATATGATATATCATTCTATTCAGAGTGTCATGAGTTCATTTTCTATCGAATAAAGTAAAAAAATACCGAGGGTGACAAAAAATAATGTCATTTCCGGTGGAACAGGAAGTGACCAAAAACAATTGAATACGTCAATACTTCGTTTTTTTAATAAAAAAGTTATAGGGGTGAGTTACTTTTCAGACGCACCCGGTATGCTGAATATTGCATTCTTGATACTTCATCTGCGTGGTCTGTATTTTAATGCATGCGACAGAGATAAATATAAATAACCGGTTGACAGACAGAGACAAAATAAAAAGCGGCATACAGTGTTGCCGGTTTTTACGTGTGTAGGAAAATGTGTATAGAAAAAAAACAATTTTAAAAACTTTCATGTATACTACTGAAATGTAGATAATATTTTAAGCTAAATATAATCTATTACAGCTGTAGTAAAATGAGTAACTAATTGTGAAAAATAAAGTTCCAACTGTAGATGCAACGTTTTTCGTAAACGCATACTTGTGCGGTTTGAGATTTTGATGAACTTAACTTTTATCTCTTTTTAATACATTTGATTTTTCATTTAGGATGTCTACGTCTCTGTCTTACACGTTAAAATCCAGACCACAAAATTTAGATGACCAGATCGGTATATGCTATACCATATCTTAATTGAGCCAAATATTATTTACTTCTTGATATTATTGATCTTCCAGTTTGCCCAACATATTTGTGATTACAAACTTTAAATAACATTTTAGATATGCCTGGCCTTTCCAGAGCAGATGCTTTACTTTTAGAATTACGTCAACATATTTTTGATAAAGATCATTGAAGAAGTATTATTGGTTTGTTGTGGTGCATTAATGATATATTTTTGTATATTTGTACCCTTACCCGCCTTCAGAGGTTTTGCTTTGATATATTTTTGTGTTGTTGAACACCAATGATTCCAATTCTAACTGTATAACATTCTTAGCAATTAACTAATTTCAAAACTTAATGCAGGCTGGCAATTATTATTCTAGGCCAAAATAATTTTGGAAACATTTTATTTTTCATTTTTTAAATGGTTTTAATTTGTTGAAGAAACATATATTTTGTTAATAACGACGACTTCATATACATGTTTTTTGAAAATTCAAAATTTCGATTTGTATTTAATATTTCAATCTATGTCATAAATGTATTTTAGAATTTTTGGCGAATTTTTCCTAAAATTTGTTTTCCTATGTAATCATATAACGTAAGCATCAATTTCTTCTACAGCCTTTGTTTTTAATTAATTAAATTTTAATTACCCATTACATATGCAAATTTTCTTCAACCATACATTATCCGATCCCTATCACAGCTTCCTATAACTAATTGGGATGTAATTTGTCGGTACAAATCACAGTATTGGCATTAATACTACGGTACAAATATACTATTAAAATAGTAATAATACCAATTTAGAAAATTGTATCTCTAGCGCAAAACAAACAAAAGTATAAATACGATCACTATGTGATTAACAAATGAGTATCTGAAGAAAAAATGACTAAATTAGAATTTTTGTTGGTTTTGGCACTCTTTAGTAGCAGTTACGCTAAGGTGAGTTTTCTATAATAGTCCTATCAATTTTATTCAGAATAATAACAAGGAAAGTCAATCAATTCCAAACAAAACTTCAATTTATAAAAGGAAATGAACCATCAGGATTGATGGTAATGAATAATAATCTAAATTACATAATTAGGTATATTTGACCAAAACGTGAGGGTATATAAAATGCAAAAATTAAATGCAGCACTAAATAATATTAAAAAATGGTTAAGTTCTTTGCTTTAGTTAGTATTTTAGGTGCTATTGGTGGTTGTGTTGGGTTTACTGATGTAAGTAAAGTATATGTAAGTAAAATACCTATTAACACTCTACGGGGGATTACCATATTACACCATTACCATATCCTTAGTTTAGGGTTACATTCGAAATTTCTAAAAGTCTACAATATCTAAATATTATTTTTTCCACATCATCAATATCCTACAATGAAATCTCACACTTAAAAATATTTTCAAGTTTATAGCAACTTTTTTCTTCAAGCTTATAGCAACTTTTTTCCTCTAAAGAAACACCCCCATTTTTTCATATGACATTTTTATCTATAAACATATACGCCAGGGCAGTTAGCAAAAATAGGCGAAATTTTTGCAATCAAGCTGATTTTTTCACAGATGATAGTACTCATTAACAGTACTCTGTAAAAAAAAGTTACACCTCCTAGAGCGCTTGCTTTCTCCGCCATGTTGAATTAAAGATGGCGTCTGATCCTATTCTTTAAAAAAATCGTAACTTTCTTATTTATTAACCGATTTTCGTCAAGTAAAAATCATTACCTTTGTTTTGGACTAAAGAATGAAATAAAAATATAAAACTATTTTGACAGGTTGTTTTTCTGTCAAAAATAAAAAAAAGAGAAAATAATAAAAGAAATCGACTTGCTTTTCGTCAATTTTTTTTTTGAACCGTACTTCGTAGCAAAAAAGGTTAAAGAATATGCGCTCTTTTGTTCTGATTTTGAAACAGTCCTTGAGTTTATGATAGGTTGAGTAGTGCGGGAGATGTAGTGTATAGTGTATCCTTAAGGATACAAACAAAAATAAACTTATACAGGATGTAAAAATACTTTATTTTTTGTTCGATTGACATAAAATAAAAACAGTTGCCTTTGGTTTTAGGTTAAACATATGAATTAAAAAAAACATTAAAAATAAATAAAAAACAGAAAAAATTGTTATTCTTAATAATAGATAATAATAAACACTGAAATTCTTTTTATTCCAGCAGAAAAGTATAGATTCAACTTTTAATAGCTTTTAACTACATATACATAATAATAACTTTTTCACATTTGTATTTACACGTCACAATCATCTATTTCCATTTCTTCATAATCATTGCATTTTTTACGCAAAATATTGCATTTCCGATTATAAGAAGCACAAACACAGTTTGCTGTGCAAAGATCTTTGCATTTGCAAAAAAATTGCCATTAAGTGTTCGGGCCCTGGAGGTTTGGTGTAAGTCACTGGGAAAAGCTCATTGCCACTGGCAAACCATCCCCACTCAAGTGGATCTAACTCGTTTCCTCTCCAGCTTTGTACCTGTAAATATACTCTAAAAACGTGTTGATTACTGGAGTCTTCTGTGGGAGGAAGATTTGCCAAATCAAAATTAGATCCCAAACTCTTCCTCCTTAATATGGAGTTTGTTTGAGGTAAATCGGTTAAAAAATAAGAAAGTTACAGTATTTAAAAAAATATTGTGTCGGCCATCTTTAATTACACATTGTCGAAAAAGCAAGCCTCCTAGAAGGTGTAACTTCTTTTACAGAGTACAATTACTTGTAACAGAATATTATTTAATTCATTTTTATTTATTATTTCTCCATGATCTTCATCAATATTAATCTTCTTTTTATATTTACAGTCTTTAATAACTGTTCGTGTTGGAATTTTTCTTTTAAATTTATAGTCAATAGCTGTTCAATAACTGGTCTGGTATATTTGGAAAATGTATAGAAAATAAATCCTTAACAGATTGTAGACTTTTTCCTCCATAATACTACCAAACTATTTTTTTTTATTTAGTTGTGTTATTCATATTTTCAAATTATATTTAACACGTATGCAGTCAATATTTGTGTCAATTTTTTATTTCATATTTTTGGCAACAAGACAGTCAATTTGTCATTAAAAGATTGAATTTGAAGGTGCCATGTTTGTTATTCTAATCAGGACCGTATAATTTTTTTGATTAATTTTGTATTTTTGTATCTCTCACAACCTAAGAATGAATTCGTATAAATCATTCAAAGTAAACAAATTGTCTCATTTTAAGTACTTCTTTAAAAAGTATCAAATAAATATTTCTGTAAAATAAAATGGGGAAAACTTATTCATCATTTTTAAAATTTGGGATTTCCTATGTCCAGATCGGCAACAGGGAGTATAACTAGTTTAGTGTATAGATAATTATGTAGAATGTAGGTTTATCAATATATTATAAGTGCATTTTTGACTATTAGTGTTATAATTGATGCATTTGTTTAGAAAATAAATTATTCAACTTATTTATTTTAACCGTTTTTTTGTAATGTAACCTTAGTTTTATTGAGCTGGATTATCGCGTCTGTACTGTATTTAAATTTTTATTAATTAAAAGCAGTAATTATTATAAAGAGATTAAAACACATGTTTGTTAAAGGTAACTCTTCCACCGGAGCTTCAGGAATATGTAGACGATTTACACAAATTGTGTCTGGATAGAAGTGGACTCACAGAAGGTAAATATATTAAAACTGTAAATACGTTATTTATAATTATTAGTGTTACATTTATTTTATTAAATTTTAGACCACCATTCAGCTTACGATATAAAACACAAGGACCAACATATGATGGTAAATATTATTTATTTAGAAAATGAAAGATAATAAAGGTATTTTTATATTTCATTTTAGTGTTACATGAAGTGCCTTATGTTGGAATCGAAATGGGTAAATATCATATAATAAATACGCACCATACTTTCATATTGACTATTTCACGACTATTTAACATGGTTTTTTCCTTAAATCGAAAAATACTTTAAACTATGCTAGATAAGTATAGAATAGATCTTAAAAAATGTTTATCTCTATCCATCCTCTTGAATTATAATGTATCATTTATTTGTTCATATTGTTACGGATTCCGTGGGTCCACTAATTTAAACTCACGATAAAATACTTAACGAATTTATTTTCTCACTTTATACACAATTACTAACTTATAACACACAACAAACTAACTATTTATAAGATTCCTTCACCAAATTGTCCGATTTTCAATTTTCACGCGGTATATTCAAATTTCAAAAACTGTCTCAGTTGTCGATGGCTCCGGCTTATATACTCTATTGACTGCTTCTCGAAATTTCCCCAATTCTCGGAAAGCGTACTTCTTCATACCAGACAATTCTATTGTCTGATTCCCTTACTTCTCGACTTGACTAAAAGATGGCGCCTGAAAAAGTCTTTTAATTTCTGGCGGATACGTTGCGGTTGTGCAGGCAACCAGTAATATATTTTTAATTTCTGGCGGATAGGCCATTTTTCTTGACAATATTAATATTATTTAATCTCATTTTAGATGAAACCGGATGGCACAATTGATTACGATTTTATAGAAGCACAAGCTTATCCAGAAGTCAAAGATTTATTGATGGCTGCAATAAATAAATGTCGACAAATTGACGGTAAATTTTGATTTTCATATATTATTACAAACTACACCGGGCTTTTCACGCAATCCTTTAATTAAACTTATTTTGTGTGTGTAAATTATTTAACAAAGTAGAAGTATTTTCAAGAAATTATTTGCTAGGCTCTCATCAGACATGTTAATAATAAAACTCTGCTGTCTAGATATTACACCGGGCGTTTTTGAAAGGAGCTCACATCTATAACTATTTTAATTTACAGTATGTATCAGTTTGTATCAGTATGTATCAGTATGTATCAGTATGTATCAGTATGTATCAGTATGTATCAGTATGTATCAGTATGTATCAGTATGTATCAGTATGTATCAGTATGTATCAGTATGTATCAGTATGTATCAGTATGTATCAGTATGTATCAGTATGTATCAGTATGTATCAGTATGTATCAGTATGTATCAGTATGTATCAGTATGTATCAGTATGTATCAGTATGTATCAGTATGTATCAGTATGTATCAGTATGTATCAGTATGTATCAGTATGTATCAGTATGTATCAGTATGTATCAATATGTATCAGTATGTATCAGTATATATCAGTATGTATCAGTATGTATCAGTATGTATCAGTATATATCAGTATATATCAGTATGTATCAGTAGATAATAAAGCGAAATTTGGTATATTAGTATATGACATAAATCGGAATTCAATTGGCTTCGGTCACATCCTGTTTCACCGGAAATGACTAGGTACCTACAACTTTTGATTTTTAAATGGCACTTTCGGTATTTTCTTCCTTTATTTGATAGAAAATGGCATCATTTGTCAACTTTTTACATTCTCAATTAAAAAAATAGCATTTTAAATCTCAAGTTAGAATGTGTTAATTAATAAATTGACCGTCCAATGTTTTCGTCTCTTTTCCTGGCCGGTTAAAAAATATCCAAATCGTATTTCTATTAATAACTGTTTTTTTTTTAAATAGAACGAGAGTACCTCATTAGCATGTTTGGAAAAAGAATTTTTCACAAATAATCTGGTACCACATACTTGGTACATCGAGCCAAATTTTCGTTACATTTATGGCCGTGGCACTCTAGATTGAAATTCCATATGCTATTTTTTTAATTTAAAATACAAAAAGTTGAAAAATTATATGTCATGCTATTCAGAATGTAATTTTCTATCGAACATAGTAAAAAAGTACCGACAAAAATACCATTTAAAAATAAAAAGATTAAAAAAATTTCTGGTGAAGCAGGAATTGAACGAAACTAACTGAAATACGTCAATAAAACCTCATTTATGTCATATACCAAAATACCAAAATTCGTTTTTTATCTGAAAGAATAAAATAATTATAGGGGTGAACCACTTTTGGAAAACACCCTGTATTGCTTTTCTTCTATTTGTAATAATTTATAAAGATACTAATATAATTTATTCAACTTATGTTTTAGCTGGCGCCGATTTATGTGAAAAATCGTACAATTTCAATTATTGCCTTCATCTTGCTGATCCTGAGGTAATATCTACATTTTACTAATCTAAATTATTTCAAACTTATTTTTTTTAGAACTGGTTCTTGGTGTAATGTTGGAATCACTGTATATCGGATTGTAAAATGTATACCTAAATACTATTACTACATTAATAATATTTTAGTTATATTTAATATATATACCTAGTAATCTCGTATATTTTCAATATAATAGTTAAATAAAGAGCATCCCAAAAATCATTTAATGACATTTAATTTTATGTTACCTACTGAAATTGATATGATAATAGATTTGTAGTTTTTAACTTAAACTGCCATTATTATTTGAAACCATTTTAGTAGGATATAATGGTCAGTTGAGCTAAAAGATAAAAAATGTCTTAAAGCCCTAGAAATCATAACTAAGAATATAACAATGATTTGAATATTCTTCTTCATATTGAAGAAAAGAAAAACGTTGACTCCTGTATATTAGGGAAAAAAGATCACAGAATTTTATTCTACGGAGACTTAAGATCATTAGCTATTACAAGAAGAAATTGGGCTGCCTTTAGAAGAAGTCGTCCCTGAAGATTAGGAGGTCTGGTTTCAAATGGATGGCTGTCCTGCAAACAATTCCCTTAAAATTTATTTCATAATGAGTGAAAATCAACACTAACTAATTTAATTTAAAAAAAATATTGAAAACAATTTAAATTATTTCTCACAACTAGTCTGTGTTGCCTCCTCGAGCCTCAATGCAAACTGTGAGACGACGTGGCATACACTCAATTAAGTTGTCCAGAAGGTGTTAAGAAATGGCTTCCCATGTTTCGCGCATATCAGCGGCCACCACACTTCCTCAAAAAATTCGCGAACCGCTAAAGTGCGATGGGGAGGATCATTATCGTCCATGTAAAAAAATCATCCTCCACTCCCCCTCGAAATGGACGCATAATATGCTCTAAAACGTCTCTAAGATATGAGGCATCTGTCATTGTGCCATCAATAAAAACAAAAGGAGTTCGAGATCCGTGCATTATACCTGCCCATACCATAATGCCTCCCCCTTGAAACGGGACACGGGGTTGAGTTGCATTCAAGAGTGCTCGTATTCCAGATGCTCTCCAGACCAAAGTTCGTCGCGAGTCTGACATTAGGCCTTGCAGTATTATTCTTGTTTCATCATTAAACATGACGAAATTCCAGTTAGGTCCATTTGCTCTCATCTCCTTAGCTTATTGTAGTCGCGTAATTTTGTGCTGTAAATTAAGCCTCGGAACACGTAGTTACATGTAATCCTCTGTCATGGAGTCTTCTTGCTATGGTCTTTCTTGAAATATTTACTCCTTCAAGGCGAGCCAACTCATTTTTAATAGCAGTACTAGAAAGCAGGGGATTGCGTCGTGCAATTAGGGATATATGACGGTCTTGCACAGCAGTAGTAACTCTCTTTCTACCTCTTCCAGGCCGGTCTGTAACCTCGTTTGTCTCCATGATTTTTTTAATATTCGCGAAACATCGCTTTGGTTAACTCCTCAAAATCAATATGCGAAATAATGTTTCTAGGCATTTTAAGGCCAAAACAATGGTGAAATTTCTTCTGAAACCCAAGAGACCACAAATCGAAATGTGCAAGAATTTGTAATAATATTGGGTCTGAACGATAAACATTGTTTACCATATCCATTTTAATAAAAAAATGTTTATTACAGATTATCAAAGCTATGTGTAAAAAAAGATCCTTTAAATTCCTTTCCGTATATTTTTAAACGATATATACAATAATTTTGGCCATGTGTGTATACTTTTAGTTGGCTTTAGAATATTTAGGATTACATATATGTAGGTATTAATCTCGCCGAATGCCAGCAACAATGCTAACATTTTTCGTATCTTACAAATACAAATCAATAATAATGAATAATCCTACTTAAATCCTGACCCGTTATCGCTCATATAACAAGTACAAACAAATACATTTTTAAATGAGAGAACCTAATGTTTAAAGAAAAGCCGCTTATCGTAATGATAAAAAAGATAAAATTGCTCGACATCGTTTAGACCTCAGTGTTTTAGTGAAATTAGAAATGATTAGGTATAGTTTTATCTATTTCATTAGAGATCTGTTGTGGTGTTCCTAACTAGAAGATATCTAAATAGTGCCATAGGATTAAATAATACTCTGAATAAACATGGCAACGCAAGGCGTTGTTGTGGTAAGTCGTTGATATTTCTGTTTAAATCTGTTTAATTTCTAGCTTGATTATTCATAGTTGATTACTCATCTTTCATTAATAATATCTACGATAAAGGGATTTTTTTGATACGTTATATATATACAGGGTGAGTCTTAAATAAGTGCAAATATTTTTGGTGGTAGAATATTTAGACCCCAGAAACACGTTTCGATGTTTTTTTCCCAAAAAATTGAAAATTTGCAATTTTTGAAAAGAAATTTGGATTTTAATTTCCAGTTAAAAGGCATAATATCTTCAGAATATAGCAACATAGGTAGTAGATTAAATTTGCAAAAATAAAACCCAGAAACAGAAAAGATCCAGTGGTTCTCAAAGTTCTCAAAAAGGGAAAAAAATATTTTTTTAAATTTTCAGAGTAAAATATCTCGGTTATTTTGGACTTATTTGAAAAACGCTAAAGAGAAAATATGTTTCTTTTATTGAAATCTACCAGATTTGCACTTATTTAAGACTCACCCTGTATATACGTCGTCATAATTTATGCAGGGTGTCCCAGAAATATAGAGAATAATAGAATAATAAAAAGTGCAAGTATTTTAAGAGGTGGTAGATCTCGATAAAAGAAACATATTTTATCTTTATCGTTTTTCAATTAGTCCAAAATAACGGAGTTATTTTACTTTGAAAATTAAAAAAAAATGATTTTTTGCTATTGCTGGATTTTCTTTTTTGTAAATTTAATCTAATACCTATGTTGCCATATTATCAAGAAATTATGTTTTTAACTAAAAACTAAAAAAAAATTCAAAACATTTTTCAAAAAAATTCGAATTTTCAAAAAAAAAAAAATCGCGAAAAAAACTCAGGCGTGTTTCTGGGGTTGAACTATACTACCAGTTAAACTACTTGCACTTGTTTCTGGGACATCCTGTATAATTAAATATAAATTATGACGATATCTTAGCAATGATATCTGATAATATTATTTTTTTATCAAATCATTTTTAAAATATCAGATCATTCGGTAATAAATCAATTGAGTTTAACTTTATACCTATTTGGATTTGGCGATAGCATTTTTACTAGTGCCAGAGAACATCTTAATCTTCTCAAAGCACATCTTGACATTTCTAAAGTTTCTGTAAATATTTTTCATTTGTTTTTCTATCTTTCCAACTTTCGACAACCAAATATAATACTTTTGGACACCAATCGCCAAATGCCTTGCCTTTTTGACAAACATTTTAAATATAAATAAAAAAAAATAATTCTTGGTGATACAAGAGACAGGAGATTGATATGGAAGGAGCATTCTGAATATGTACGTTGTTAGCACTTCTCAACACTGCTGTATGTGGACAACAATCGCACACACTATAGGTGTTCCAGGCGTATCAAATAATTCGACATTTTGCAAAAAGACTAGGCATATTATAAAACGCTGGCGTTTTAAACAAGAAACGTAAAAAAAGGACATTTTACTAAAAACGTGTCTGTTTCAATCGCTTTGCAAAATGGCTAATCGGAATTAGGCAAATTAAACAATGATAATATTTGCTGGACATTTCTGCAAAAAGACTGCTCGTTTTCAGTCAATCTTCAAAATGCCTAGTGAAGACTAATCAGATTGCACAAAACATATTACGCGGGATTGGTACCTATATCTAACCTAAATTTATCCAAGGATATTTTTTGAACCTCTATTTCAAAATTAGGAAATAATGGCACAAAATAGTGATGATTCTGATAATGAAAGTGTGGTCAAGGACAATTATAATAAAGAACTAAATTCATTTTATTCTAAAAGATAGCAAATTTTCACAAAGAAGCCGCCTTGGACACAGAATCGAATTATTAGAGTATAATTAAATAAGTATTAATATTATATATTTAATATATTTTGTTAATACAAAACAACGATAACAAACGACAAACATAAATGTAACATAATTGTTACTTTTAATTATAATTGTAATTTATGAAATATGATTCAAGTTGTTTATATATATGTTATAGCAAAGCTACCACCTGAATCACCAGCGCGAAATTTAAATTCCAGTTAGTGAGCACGGTCCCGAATATGTCCATGGTTGGCAACAATGATTTTAAAAATCACGCCCTCGATTACGTAACTAAAAGTTTAATTGATATGAAATATATATTTTCATGTTTCTCTTAATTTTCTCTAAAACGGTATGGAAATTTGGAAAAGTATAAACGCGATTAACCATTTTGGAATGAGCAAAAATGTTTATGAAGAATGTGTTTTTCTCAAAATGTCAATAATAGAAATGTTTTTCCTCTTGTAAACAATCCGGGGACATACTGTATAGTTGCAGAGGCGGAGGCTGGAGTTTCTACACACAGGGAACCGCAGTGTATAAGAAACAATATTTTAAAAGTTTGTTTGTATTCAAAACAATCGTAACATTTCCAGTTAATCCTGTACTGAAATTGAAATGCCAACAACTTTGAAAACCATTCTAAGAACATCGCTTCACAAGAAGAACATCACATCACAATATCTTCACTGGTTGTCGTTGATGACTCCTGGTGGGCCGATCTCACAAGTGAATGGGTTTTCTATGGTTTAGTAAGCATAATTTATATATAAAGAGTGTATTTGTTAAAACTTGGTTAAAATATAAAATGCAACTTATGTCAAACACGACTAAATACATCGAAGTGGTGAGAAGTTTTTTTCTGTTTCATGCTGACTAACAACAGAGTTTCAACATCATTAGTAATGAGATTAAGAGGAGATGTACGATTGCAGAAGAAACCACAATTAAGCCTAAGAGGATCTGGACAGTAGATTGTTGAGAGCCTCGTGTTTCCAGTTTTCCTGTACGGATCTAAATGTTGGATGTTATTGCAGACAGATGGGATAAAATAATTCACTAGAAATGTCATGTATTTAAAAAATAGTGAACTATAAAAAAAAAACTATCAGAATGAGCAATATATATTAAGATTCAAATAATATGATATGATAATATGTTATCAGATGATAATAAATGCATTGTATTTAGTGTAATCAATTTATTTTTTATCTAATTTACAGTGATATGGAACTCCTATTGTAAGCGAAAATAAAAATTACATTATTATTGATAATACACTTTACAATAATCGTTATGTCATAATTATGAATAGTTTAAAAATATATAAAAACCACAAATACGTCTTTTAGGACATTACGTAAATCAAATGTTATTATAATATTGTTATTATAGTTATTATAAAAATTACATTATTATATTGATAATATATAAAAATTACATTATTATTGATCACATACTTTTAAATAATCGTTACATCATAATTCATCAATATCATCTTAGTCAACCATTTCCAAATATGCTGTAGGCTGTAGCCTCCCTCACATATCTAGATACTCTCTTTGCAGTAGGCCCATTATTGTCTATTATTGGCAAGTTATCCAAGTTGGCGAGTTATCCATGCGGGCCCAATTTATCCCTGCTAATTACCTAATATCATGGTCCCATCTCAGGTTTGGTCTTCCTCTAGGTCTCTTAATTCTTCGTGGGTACCATGCTGTAATTTCTGTGGTCCATCTGCTGTCCCTCCTTCTTGCCAGGTGTCCTGTAGACTGCCACTTGAGGGATTACAGTGAGGATGACATCTATTACTCTGAGGATGACATCTATTACCTGGGTCGTATCCACTCCAATATATTAAGCATTGTCATCGGAAAATCCTCGAAATTTCGTCTTTCATTGATCTCAAGGTAGCCTTAGATTCCCTTAACCATCATGCATTATTGCCGAACAATACCAACTAAAATCACTAATATCATCAAGCAGCATATTGATATATAGCTGCTTCCAGTACATCGACGGTCTAAAGTTATCAAACATACAGGCTTGAAGAATGAAAACATTTTGGCATCAAATGGTACTGTGATTTGTTTACGCACATTTACTATTTTTATTCACTCTGATATCTCAACTATTAGTGAAAATATAGGGTTTCAAGGAAAATAGAGATATTTATCTATATCTTTTTTGAAACCCTGTTTTTACCAATGCCCACGTTCAAAAAAATCTTCTAATTTTAGGGTGACTACATCTGGGCTAAGCAAATAAACAATGGCGAGTTTGACATACCAATCGGTGGCAAAGTGACTGCCATAGAATCGAGCAGAGTGAAAATAATCGACGATGATGGCAATCAGGTTTACGTTGCCAATGCCCAAGTGCTCAAAATCATGCACGTCACATCTGAAAAAGGCGTTGATGATATGATTAACCTGGGAGATCTGCAAGAATACGCTATACTCCGCAACTTACACAAACGCTACAAAGAAAAGAAAATCTACGTATGTATAGAACTTAATACACACACAGCAAAATATACTTTATTTAGTATAAGTTTTTTTCAGTTATACTTACAGTTTACGATCATTTACAATGTCCGAAAAATACAATTAAAATCATGTATTCATAGAGAAAACCTATTAATTATTTTATAAAACAATCAACTTTTTTTCCAACCAAAATTTATGTTGACGGATGATAATTAAAAATGACATTATTCGTAAATTTTGAAGTATAACTAGTGGAAAAAGTTAAAATTTGATATCTTTTTCTACTAATTAACGCTTCATTCGGCCCTCGAAATTAATGGAATGTTTACTATAAATGTTACAATAAATTAGTGGTTCTAATTAGTGTAGAAATTTGTTCCTCTAATTTCAATATGCGCATTTAGAACATCAAAATTAGTGGTAGTAATTTTCAATTAGTAAAAAAAACAACAAACTTTTGACTTTTCCACTAATTATACTTCAAAATTTGCTAGTAATGTTCTTTTGGCCATTGACCATGCGTCAAGATAAATTGTGGTTTGAAATCAAAAATTGATTGTTCTATATGCTAATTATTAGGCTTTCTCTGTGGATACAATTGACTACCGCAAGCTGTTGCTAGGCTATTCTATTAATTTTAATTTTATTTTTTAGACATTGCGGATGATCGTAAACTTGTTTTGTTGCTAAAAAATGTTTTAAGTATAAAGTATAATTGAAAACACTAATATATTCCACTAATTTCGAGGTTCTGAATGAAGCTTAAAGCTCCCAATTAGTAGAATAAATTAGTGGTTTTAATTAGCGTAGAAGTTTGTTCCTCTAATTTGAATGTAAGCATTTAGAACGTCAAAATTAGTGGTAGGAATTTTCAATTAGTGAAAAAAGTTAACAAACTTTTAACTTTTCCACTAACTATACTTCAAAATTTGCGACAAATGTCATTTCGACCTTTGATTATTATCTGTCAAGACAAAATTTTGTTAGACATCAAAAGTTGCTTGTTTTATAAGCTAAATATTAGGCTTTCTCTATGAATACAACTGACTACTGGAAGCTGTTGCTAGTATATTCTATTAATTTTAATTATGTTTTGTGAATAATTGTAAACTAAAAAGTATAAAGTGTAATTGAAACCACTAATTTATTCTAATTATTAAATTGTTTTCTATACCACCAATATTTATTTTTTAGACATATACGGGAACTATGTTGGTGGCCATAAATCCATACGAATTTTTGCCGATTTACACCAATTCACTGATTAATGATTACCGAGGAAAAAAGTTTGAAGAACTTCCGCCTCACATTTTTGCAGTGGGAGATAATAGTTATAATGATATGAAGAAAACAAAAACAGATCAGTGCATAGTAATAAGGTATATAAGTATATTGTTTTCACAGCTTTGTATCATTCTTGCTTAACACATTCACAAAAAACTAGTTGCTAAAAATTATAATTAATAATTAGATTATACTACCAGTGATGTTATTAATACTAGTGACAGTAGTTATATGTGAAGCATACTGTAAATGTTCAATCAAAACCTATTCGATCAGCACCACTTTTTATTAACATAAAATTTAAATAAAAAAAAATAATACAAAAATACAATGTTATCTATTATTTTAGTGGCGAATCTGGAGCTGGTAAAACAGAAAGCACAAAATTAATATTGCAGTATTTGGCTTCAACTAGCGGTCAACATTCTTGGATAGAACAACAAATTTTAGAAGCTAATCCAATATTGGAGGCTTTTGGTAATGCTAAAACTGTGAGAAATGATAATTCTTCAAGGTTTGGAAAATATATTAATATAGACTTCAACTTAAATGGTAAGAAAGCAACTCTTTTTTTTATTTGTTTGTGCAATTCTCAAATTTAATTTTCTGTAGGAGCCATTGAAGGTGCCAAAATTGAACAGTATTTGTTGGAGAAGAGTAGAATAGTATCTCAAAATGATGGAGAAAGAAACTACCATATATTTTATAGTATGTTAGCCGGTTTACCTAAAGAAGAAAAGAAAAGACTAGATTTAGGAGAACCAGATGCCTATGAATATTTAAAAGGTACATTTGAACAGTTAATTTTTTCCTAGTTTGGGTACACAAATTACATAGCTAAATGAAAAAACAGAATAGTCAAATTCAAATTTATCTGATTCGATAACAATCCGTATTGTTATAACAATTATTATTTCCATATATTGCAAACTATTACCTAATACCATACGATGAAAAAAAAACGGCGTCAAAGACTGCTGGGTGATGACAATCAATGATAATTTTAACGAGGTCAAGCCCTAGACGTCATTACTAGGCCCGTACTCCGTGCCAGTTGGCCTTAAGAAGGTTGTCATTTATTTTATATTGAGTATTAGTTTTATAGGTAGGTATTGAGTTTTTGATTAAGAATGATTTTTAAATGAGGTAAAGTTTAAAATTCGAGAAAAAGTAAATTTTTTGAAATAGATTTGTATATTTTGAAACGTTATGCGATAGTTAATTAGCACTAAAAGCGATCAACTCAGTAACCATCAATTCAAAGTTGGTGAAAGAATGCCTAGAGAAGCTGAACAAATTAGGCAAAGAAAAGAAAGTCTTCCTACTCTGGGTGCCAACTCACAAAAGGATAGAAGACAATGAAAAAGTAAACGATCTAGCTAGAAAAGGAGCGGACACTCTACTAACTGTACCAGCACCGTTCTGCTTCTCAAGTGGCAACCAACTTAAACCGGAACTCAAGAACCTGGAAGACTCCAACCGTAACCTGGAATGATTACGGTCCAACAGTTTAAGACGCTCGGCTCGAAGAAATTTCTCAGAACTTACAACCGAAGAACAACCTTTGGATTGCCACGGAGTATTTAACAGGACACTGTCTCTTCAACGAACACTTCAGTAGATGGAAGTTAAGAAACAACGGCGAAGGCAGATTCTGTAGGGAAAATTGGGAAACCCCAGAACACCTTATCACTGAGTGTAGCGAGACGACAACCATTCATGCCATAAACTTTGGTACAACTGATATTGGAAATGGAGAACTGGCCGATGTGAATCCGTCTTAGATACTGGCTTTTCTCAAAGCCCTGAGACTTTATCATGAGCTATCATTCTTAATAACTGAAGAAGCGTTTTTTTGTAAAAAAATTACCAAAAAACGGGTTCCAAATTTAGTCAATTTTAGGATTTATTGTACGTACACCAAAAATATATTTTGAGATTGATTTTTAACATTTAATTTTATAATATTGTTATCACAGGTAGGTAGCTAATATTATATTTATAAAAGCACCAAAATCTAAAATATAATTATGTTAGCTTCTTAGAGCACTGACGACCAGGTCGCAGCAACCCGCCAACGGTCAAACCTTTAAATCAAATGATAAAAAAAATAAATCAAGCGGTTGCAGCTTGGTCGGTATACCATAGATAGATATATAAATTCCTAGAGGTAGATCTTGGCCTGATTCACTGCGACCTTCTCAGATCTATTGTGTGGTCCTGTTCTGATCCTTAGGTTACATTCTTCAGTCCTATCCTTTTCACAAAATTTAGCAACTTTGAGACTGAACCCTCCATGTAGCTCCCTGGCAATGGCTTATCATTGCCTATTACCGATAATCGCACATTTGCCAGGCTATCGCACCGACATCAAAAAATCTCTCTTGTTTGCACCACTTGTCTATGTGATTGTTTAGGGATGTCTGCATTCTTTCTGATGTCATACCAGCAAACTTGCCTCTGACCACAATTACAATGTCGTCTGCATATCCTAGGCAATAAAAGCCTCGTGTGGAAGCTCGTTGAGGAGGTTATCTACCAAGATTGCCCAAAGTAGGGGAGATAACACTCTTCCCTGAGGAAAACCTCCACCCGCTACTGCTTTGATAGTAGCTTGCCCCAGGGTGGAAGTCACTATCCTGTTCTCTAAGGTGGCCTTTATTCATCGACATACCACCGCAGGTGTACCTATTTTACTCATTTTATTTACTAATGGGTCGGTAGTAGCATTATTGAATGCTCCTTCAATATCTAAAAAACGGCCATTGCTATTTCTTTGTCTTCTATCGACTTTGAAATAAGCCTGTTTAAGTCATCCAACGCAGCATCCGTGGATTTACCTAGTTGGTATGCGTATTGACGATTGCTTGCCTTCAGCACTTTGTCCTATAATTACCTATCCAAGAGCCTCTCTAGCTTTTTCAGTAGGAAGGAGGACAGGTTTATCGGTCTATATGATTGTGGTGTAAAATCCGATACCTTGCCTACCTTAGGAAGATATATGACTTTTGCCATCTTTCTGGTATGACTCTCCATGCTAGCTTTGAGAATATTACATATGTGTAATTGGTTGGTAACTTCGGTGGTAATTTTCTAATCCACCTTGGTATACCATACATAGTAATGCCATTAAATCAAGCACTGGTCGCTGCGACCTAGTCGTCAGTGCGTTTAAGCCTTTAATGGCATTATATTTACACCGTAAATTTGCATATCTATTGCAGGTGGGAGAACATTGACATGTGCTGGTCGGAATGAAGCCAAAGAATTCTCCGATATCGCTGGAGCACTGAAGGTTCTCAATTTTACAGAAAAACAAACATCGGATATTTTTACATTGCTATCGGCCATTTTACATTTAGGAAATTTAAAATTCAAGTCGGGGTCGTCATCGCACTCTGAAAGTTCGGAAATAGGTGATCAGTCTCTTAATGAGAAGATTGCTCGACTTTTAGGGGTAGCAAAAGCTGACCTTGCGGAAGCTCTCACCAAAAAGACCATATATGCTCATGGAGATACGGTAAGAATATTATATCTAGTTCTATGAGAAGTTCAAGAAATTAGTTTAAATTCTGAATTAAGTTAAAAAAGTAGTACTAGGAATATTTCTCAAAATAAATTAAATATTAAATAGGTAACTCTCTAATAGAGTTGTGAAGACCATGGAAGTCCGAAATTCTTTTAGTTTCAATCTAACAGTTTATCGTACCATTGAGATACCATTACATAACCATTAGGGTTAAAGTAAAAATCTTCACTTTTTCTTAATAACCTATTTATTTTTTTTAGATTGTTTCTACCATGTCCAAACAGCAAGCCACAGAATCACGAAATGCTTTTTCAAAGGCAATTTACGGAAAAATATTTATTTTGTTGGTGGACAAAATAAACGAAGCCATTCACAAAACCAAAATTCCACACAAAAAATCAATCGGTGTGTTAGATATCTTTGGATTTGAAAACTTTCAAGTGAACAGCTTCGAACAGCTATGCATCAACTACGCAAACGAAAACTTGCAACAATTCTTCGTCCAACATATATTTAAACTTGAACAGGAATACTACACGAAAGAAGGTATTAATTGGTCAAAGATCGAATTCGTCGATAACCAGGACGTGCTGGACATGATTGGACTGAAACCGATGAATATATTTTCTCTGATCGATGAAGAAACCAAGTTTCCAAAAGGAACGGATTTTTCAATGTTAACGAAACTTCATGGACGTCATGGAACATTAAAATTTTATTTGAAACCTAAATCTGATATGACACCTGAATTCGGAGTTCAACATTTTGCTGGTGCTGTATTTTATCAAGTTTCTGGTGAGAGGAATTCTAAAGAAAAATACTTTGATATCTTTACACCGTTGGAATATTAATATACAGAGTGATCCGAACTGTATTCCGGAAACTTCGGTAGCATTCTCTGCAGATAAAAATAAGTAAAAACGTTCGTATAAATGAATGTTTTAAATTGCTTGGCTTTGGAGATACAGGGTGTAGAAGTTTCATTTTTTTTCGAAATAATTTGTAAAGTAACGTTAATATCTGGATGAAAATTCGTGTCTGGGAGTTTTTTGAGACATGAGAAATTTGATTCTGATGTCAATATGACACCTATTTGTAGGGGGCGCCACTTATATGTATTTTAACTGTTTTGAAGATTAATAATTTTTCGTCCGTACCTGTATAAAAGTACTGAGTGAAAAAATATACATTTCCGTGATTTTTACGTACAAAATGTCTCTTGGTAAAAATCGCTACGAGCAACTGTTCTTAAGACATTTAGAATGGAAGTAGTCAATACATGTCATTATTGACAAAAATAAACATGTTGAGTAGATAGTTATTTGACTGAAATGGAACTTTTTACTTTTTTAAATTAATCAAAAATTTTTCTTAAAAAAATGACGATAAAACAATAATTTCTGTTGAACTTTTGACGCAAAATTATTTCAAATTTACGATTTTAGTCTAATAACTATTTAATCAACATGTTTAATTTATGTCAATGATGACAGGTATTGATAATTTCAATTCCAAATATCCCTAGAACCATTACTTGTAGTGATTTTTATCAAGAGACCTTTTTTACGTAAAAAACGTCGTAAATGTATGTTTTTATACTCGGTAGTTTTATACAGGTACGGACAAAAAGTTATTACTTTTCAAACCAGTTAAAAATATGTAGGTGGCGCCCTCTATAAGTAGGAGTCATATTGACATAAAAAAAACTCCCAGACACCAATATTCCTCCAAATATTGACGTTACTTTAGACAAACTTTTTAACTTATTCTTATCTGCAGAATATGCTGCCGAAGTTTCCGGAATTCAGTTTGGACCACCATGTATAAACAATTAACTAAAATCTTATGGCGCGTTCTCACGACTCGTGTACTTGGCAAGTATGTTTTATTGACCTACAGGGTCTGGTGGGAGTGCGGCGTAGTTCCTAAAATAAATAATTATTTATTATTAATTATTTTATTTATTATAATTCCTAATAAATAACTTACAAATTCTATATAGATGCCCGACGCACCATGTATACCCTGTATACCAATTACAAATGTTCGTCAAGTACACGAATCGTGAGAATGCGCCTTTATACAGTTGTCCAACATTTAGATATTTTAAATAAAATATTCAACATTCTCTAAACAATAAAAATATTTGGATTAGGTATTTTAAATTTAGATATTCAACTTAAGGTCGACATAAACATACAGTGTTTCCTTAAGATCTGAACTGCGTAAGCATTGCCTTGAGATATTCCTCAACGTGTATGGTGAAGACTTTGAGGCTGCCGGTGGACCGTAATCACAAAATTCTATGTATTACAATATTCTATAGTAGTTGGTCCTTGAGGAAAAACTGTGTGTTGCTATCTTTTTTATCTTTTTTTTTGTTGTTAACTTTTTAAGAGAAGACTTTGGATATTTTTCTAAATCCAATTCAACCAAAATGCACAAGATGGATTGCAGATTATACTTTCATTTTTAACTGTCCTAACTTAATCGAGAAAAATATTGACTGCAAAATAAAAGGCTAGTTCACCACAATACACCAAAACATTTTACACTACAAACTAGTCGTGTGTTTTGCTAACCATGATAGCATCATCATCAGATTATTTAAACTCAAATTCACCAAATGATTACAACTATTGAGATATCTATTGATGATGCTAATATGGATGGTTATTAAACCGTGCGTTGAAAATGTTTTGCTGTGATACGTTACTTTGGACGCGTTTTTGTTTTATTTTTAAACTTAACAAACTTTATTTCTAGAAATATTATTATTTTTTAATTCAAAATATATTTTTGTTTAGGTTTCCTTGACAAAAACCGAGATACCTTTAGCCAGGATATTAAAAATCTAGTCAAATCTTCGCAAAATGATATGATTCTTTCCATATTCAAAGATGAAATTGCCAACGATAATAACAGTAAGAAGATGGTAACGCTTTCTTCACAATTTAAAACATCTCTAGAATTACTGATGAGGACGCTTAGTTCCTGCCATCCGTTCTTTGTACGTTGCATAAAACCCAATGAATTGAAAAAGCCACAAGTAAGATATATTCATGCTTATTCATTAATTATTTAAAAATAGTAATTTATTTCCTTTTCTAGATATTTGATAGAGCATTATGCTGTCGACAGTTAAGGTACTCGGGTATGATGGAAACAGCTAAAATAAGACAAGCTGGATATCCGATTAGATATTCTTATCCTCAATTTGTAGACAGGTTTAGATACCTAGGTATGCAGGGTTTTTGAAATAAATGTTCTTGTCTCTTTTTACGAACTATGACGGAAAAATTCGAACCTATATTGATGGAAATTTGACGTAAAATCAATATACACACATACTTTTTTTATAAATTTAGTTTTAGTGTGATACACTAGATAATTAATTGATTTTCCCATGCAGGAAAAGGAATACCTCCATCTCATAAAGGGGACTGTAAAGAGTCAACAAAAAAAATATGTAACGAAGTATTTACAAAAGGTGAAGATTTCCAACTTGGACATTCAAAATTATTCCTTAAACATGTAGACAGTGAAAGACTTGAAGAATTAAGGGCACAAGTATTAGCTAGGTTAACAATTTATATATAGAAACTTATTGATTTTTTTACTAAAGTCGTGATTTTTCAGGTACATTTTGGTTTTGCAAAAAGCTATAAGAGGTTGGATTCATAGACGACAATTTAAAAAACTCAGAGCAGCTGCTATTGTATTCCAAAAACATTTTAGAGCAAGGGGATATCGAACTAAATATCTCAAAATGCGGAATGGGTATCAACGCCTTCAAGTAATACATTTTAGATATTTATTAATACGGAAAACGTATAATTTAAATATACGTAAATATATCTAACGATTATGCTTTACCAACCTTAACGTTCAACGTATATCGGCAAGGCCAGAAGACCCTTAGCAATACGAGTTTCAGGACAAAAAAAATGCAATAGGCGACACGCATATATTCTGGAATATATGTGGAGCATTCGGCATACCATACAGTAGTTGAAAGACAAAATAACTAATAAGGAGCAACAGTGGTTTAAGGGAAATCATTTCAAAAGGTGACTTGTAATATTCAACCATTCGAGTCAGCCCAGCATTAACATCAAGCACCGGCCTGAAGGATACTATCATAGTTCAGTGTTCTTAAAGTAATCTTCTAGAATTTAAAGAGTATTTTTAGTGATATCAGTTTAAATTTTATTGAATGTAATTATTCTTTAGCCTTTATATAATAGGTTTTATTAGTTGTTTCTTGGGTGTTGTGGCTATGGTCAATTAAAACAAAACTCTTTCGACGTTTCGCATTTAATGTAATGCTTCTTCAGGAATATGTCTTGGTTAGGTTTCCACTCACAGTAAAGAAACGAAAATAAGCACTACTACTTCCAAGATATATTCCTGAAGAAGCACTACATTAAATGCGAAACATCGAAAGATTTTTGTTGTAATTGACCATAGCCACAACACCCAAGAAACAGCTAACAAAAGTTAAATTTTATTTGATAACGGCTTGTAATACAAACAACCCGAAACGTTAATGCTACTATTGTTGAAGTTTGACCGAATCAGAACATAAACATAATACTGTAGAAATTATGTAGTAAAGCAATACATAGTAGCTTGTAAGAAGTATCTTCTGTTTATTTTTGGTTCAGATTAATTGACTTTTGACTAAAATAGTATGACTAAAATTGTAAATCATGCAAGGTGTTTTGATAGAATAGTTTGAGGTGGTTTAGACAAATAAGCCTACTATTGTTTTCTACCCGTCGTCCGTAACATACAAGATATTCACAAAAATAACAACAGAATACAAAACACCTTAGACGGTCCACCACAACGAGAACAAACAGGCTTTAGAGGCGACTTCAGCACAATTGATCACATACTAAGAACTGATAGTTTAGAGTCGAACAAAAGAATACGAATTTTCACTAGCCATAGCCTTTATACACTTTGAGAAGACTTTCGACTTGATATATCCTAAGGCAATAATAGAAGCTCTAGCGAATCAAGTTATTGACAGGCCTTAGAAACTCTAGCCTATAGAAACTCTAGAAAACAGCCTATAGAAACTCTCGCCAATATATTCAAAGACGCTAAAGCAAGAGTAATGATATATAAAACAACCCCAGTGTTCCCAACCAGCAAAGGAGTGCGACAGGGAGACGCAATATCCCCGAAACTGTTTACAGCAACATTAGAAGAAATTTTCCGTCAACTAGACTGGATTGACAGAGAATTAAAAAAGATGGAGAATATCTTAACCATCTAAGATTCGCTGATGACATAGTCCTAATAGCCAATAGTCTTGAAGAACTACAAAAACAAATTAATGAACTAAATACAGCCAGCAATAACGCTGGTCCCAAAATAAGTTTAGCAGAAACTAAAGTAATGTACAACAAACTAGTAGCCAGAAAATACATTCTAGTAAATAACACAAAACTATAAAATAGTAGAAGAATACATATGAAGACTTGAAGTAAATAATGTTTTAAGTGCCAAAATCATTTTTTCTAGATAAACAACATTTTTTGTTATATAACCAATGTATAAGAACGGGCGGTGTCTCTGTTGAGAATTTTTTTCAATACAATTTAATAGCCGTCGCACTTAGTGCTTTATATATATTGTTGGTTATGCCACTTAGGACATTTTACAAATAAGACATGATAAAACGATTTTTTGGCACTTAGAACATTATTTACTTCAAGTCTTCATATATTTGGAACAACTAATACACAGCTCGGGATCTCTACTACCAGAAATCGGCCAAAGAATTAAGTTAGCATGGTGTACTTATGGAAGAAACATAATCATATTCAAATATAGAATACCATTTTAAATAAAGAAGAAAATATTCGACCAATTGTGTACTACCAGTTCGCATGACCTATGCATGCGAAACATAGACTCTTAAAGGGATATTGTAAGGAAACTGCAGGTCGCACAATGCTCAAGGGAACGAGATATGCTGGGAATAAGTGGTAGCGAAAAAAGACTCAGGTAATAGATGTCACCCACAGAACCAAATCCTTTAAGTGGCAATGGGCAGGACACCTGGCAAGAAGGACGGACAACAGATGGACCACAAAAATAACAGCATGGTACCCACGAGGAATTAAGAGACCTAGAGGAAGGCCAAACCTGAGATGGAACCATGATATTAGCAAATTAGCAGAGATAACGTTGGGCCGCATAGTCATCAATAGACAACAATGGGTCCAACTACAAAGAGAGTATCTAAATATGTGAGGGAAGCTACACAATAACTGGAAATAGTTAAATAAACGGAGAATGATGATGAGTTAGAGGTTTGGTGTGACCTGATCCGAAGTGACAGTTGTCTACCATGTAAATTCAGGAGTTAATTATTTTTTATCTGAGTATTTGAATGTTGTTTTTTGAAATCATAAATTTTCTAGCTGCATAAACTTTGAATATTTACATTGCCGGGATTAATATTTAATATATCTTAATACTACTTCCTAATTTATGACCTATTAATTTTTTATTAATATCAATCAATAATTTATGATCTATTAGTACTCCTTTTTTTATAAATATCTAAATGCTACATTGTAATTTATGATCTTTTACAGTCCAAGATTATCTCAAGGGAACAAGTATTCTCTTACCAAAAATTGCGAGAGAAAATTGTGCGGTTGCAAGCGCGTAGCAAAGGTTACGTTGCAAGAACAAGTGGTCAGTTTGGAAAGATCGTGTCAATATTGCAGCAAAGGAAACAGGATGAGATTGAATTTAAGCGTCAAGGCAGAAAGAATCCACGACTTGATGCGGAATCTTTAATGCAGCAACGCTTGGCGGCTGCTAGTGCAGATTACGCTGCCATGTTGAAGCAGAAGGAAGTGGAAGCTTTAAGGGTAAGTGTTGAACCAGTCAAAATGTATCAGCTATTTTATTAAAAATTCATGAATTATTTGATTGCATCGAGTTACTTTAGAGGACCAAACCTTTTGAAAGAATTTTAAACAGTAGTATAGTTGCCAGCAGAGATTGTTAAACATCGGTACAAAATAATCAATAAAAACAATGCAAAACCAACTGTTAATTGTAGGCTATACAAGACGTAAGTCAGCAATTTGCTTTCTTGGAAGATGCCCTGATATCAGAACCTCCTTCACCCAGTACTGAAATGCCAAAGTTACCCCAAAACAAAGTTGACGTTAAATTGACGGTGAGTACATTAAAATATTTTTAATAGAAAATATACAAAGAAGATATTTATAATATTAATTTCACATCATATTTATTTTATTAGTGATTTTAGTATTAAAATTTGATTTCTTTTTAAATTTACTTTATGTTATACAAAAACTTTTTGAATATTCCTAAAAAACAATAAGCTAAAGTAAGCTAATTGGTTAAAGTTAACTTAATTGCTTTTGATTTAGAACCAAAAATTTGTTAATAAAACGATATCACACTGAGTACAATTAAATAATAAAACATTGTAATTATCAAATACATCTTTAGCAAAGATATGACATTATATTTACTTCTTTGTTAGTGAAATTTAACAGTTGTCCGACAAGTAATTCCTTATATAAAAATCAAGATATTTATATCTCTAAAAAAAGGTGCATCATATACTCTTCTGTTGTGGAATCAAAATCCTTCAAACGCTAATCTATAGTATTTTAATAACAGAACAAGTAGGATGTTTAATTCATTCGCAACTTTTTACTAAATTAAGCGAAATAGCATTTAGTGGCCGGTCGTAGCTCTAGCGTAGTATCTATATATAGTAATCTGGCGGAGCGGAAGGTACTGGGTTCGATCCCCAGCCAGTACGGTCGCTTTATTTATTTAAATAAAAATATTTATTTATCTAAATAGAGCGACCAACGAGCCGCCACCTCAAGGAAGGCAATGGCAAACCACCTTGAGTATATTTGCCTTGTACAGCCTCTCAAATAGTGCCGTTCTGATGACACACATCACAAGTACATGCGAGAGATAGCCGATGCTCTATATAGAGTATGACACTGTAAGAAGCATTTATTGGATTGTACTAAGTTTAATTAAGTCAAGAATATCTTAAATATGTTAATAGTATATTTTTAACGTTTAGGTTATCGTTCAATTGGTTTTTATTTGAATATATTTTTTTTGTGTTTATTTAAATATACATGGTTCTAGCGTTAAGTTTAAAGAGTACTTACGTTCTCTTTGGAGTTAAAACTTTATAAAAGTTCTTTGATTACTATTATACAGGGTCTGGCAGTAGTTGTGTGTCGGGTATCTGTAGCTACCAGAATAAAAACTTGAGAATTTTGTCTAAGCGCAAACCTAAAGTATTAAGAGGATGTATTTCAGGAAAATATTTTAACTTCTATAGGAATGGATCGGGATAATTTTTTTTAATTGGAACACCCTGTATATTATTGCATTTTTGGCTTTCTTTCATATCACTTTACATAATTCTAAGATATGAGATGGTTAAAATTTTGATTGTTAAAAATAACTTGATTGTTAAAAATACATGGCATAATCCTAAATATATTGTGATAATTTTATAGATATTAATAAATAAAGAAAAATATATATTTTTAACCTTCCTTAAAAAAATTATTAAAAATACAAGAACTGTCCTCAAATCAAAACTGTATTAGGTATTTACTTCAGATGGTCTATACTTACTTTGCTATAAATATCGTAATCTCAAATCATACAGGGTGTACAAAATTCTGCCCCAAACTTTCTAAAATACAAAGTAATTTTTCTTTGATTTTTTTTAAACGGAACACCTTTTGTATTATTTTTATTTATTAGATGGAGGGTTGAAAATGAACATTTTTTGTATTTAAAGAATTTCAAAATTTTTATTGGTTTCACAGATACACGCAGTATTATTTCATATGGCTCTTTCGATGGTAAAATACGAGAGAAAAATCATTGGCTTTGATAAAAATTCACTGTGGAAAATGCCATTTGAAATATAAAACCGCGAACATCTGCAAAGCCCTTAAAAATTTTGAAATACTCTAAATACAAAAAATGTTCATTTTTTAATTCTCTATTTTTATTAATCTCTCTTTTAATTAATCTATTGAAAAAATACAGTGTTCGATTAAAAAAAACGAAGAAAAAATATTTTTATTTTAGAAAGTTTGGCTTAGATTTAAACATCCTGTATGATTTACGATTACCATATTTATAGTAAAGTAAGGACAGACCATAAAGTAAATACCTAATATAGTTTTGATTTCAGTGCAGTTATTGTATTTTTAATATCTTTTAAGAAAGACTGAAAAAATATATTTTTTATTTATTTATTAATATCTTTAAAACTATCGAAATATATTTACTCATATCTTAGAATTATGTAAAGTGATCTGAAAAGAAGCCAAAAATGCAATAATATACAGGGTGTTACATTTAAAAAAAAATCATCCCGATCCACTCATACTTTTTTGGGCCATCCTATAGAAGATAAAATATTTCCTGAAATACATACTAGTGCAAAATTTCCAAGATTTTTATTCTAGCAGCTGCAGATGTTCGACGCACTACGGCCAGGCCCTGTATGCCAAGCTTTATACATATTTATTTCAAATATTTTAAACATAATTTTTATAATTCAAATAATTTTTTTTCTAAACCTTAAAAATGCAGAAAATAATTTGAAGATTTTTTAACATTTCAAAACCGTTTCTCGATCAATATAAAAGTATCTTTATATAATACGTCCAAAAATAACTGTATTATTGAATGATGTAACACTTACCAAACGTAATTTTTATTGCGTCATATAAAACAAATTGACGAACAAACAATAATTAGAATAAATTAAGGATAACATGTCGAATATATTAAAAACTATTTTAATATCCTACCAAATTAGAAGACTCACCGGTGGGATCCTTCCGAATTATCTGGCATATGTAGTTCAGAGAAAAAAAAAATGTTTTAGGTTGAACTTTTCGAAAGGAAATTTTAACAAGTTTGATATTTTGATATTTCTACGATTCCTTAATCTAACCATCATTTTGTTTTTCATTTTCAAAAAGTATCAACGGTTTTTTAGTTTTTTTCTTAAATGATCTCACTATTTACAAAACTAGAATTTAAAAGGATTCGGATTTACAAACTTATTTATCTACATATAATATTTTGTAACCAACAAAAGTGACTTGATAAATACTGTATATTTTGTTAGACCAAAATAAGAATAAATTTAGAGAGAATGAGGCAATTTAGAGTGATTTTATAGTTGATTACCACTTCCCAGACAAATCTGTAATACTTTTTATCAAAATGCGTGGGATTAGCAGAATTAAACCTGTTAATTAATTTCCCGAAGTAAGCAGGGTTAAACGGCGATAACGATAATGGCGTCCATCAAGCGAGACGTAATTTTCCGGATTTATTATCATAATAAACATGTTAATTCACCTTAACAAACATTCACTGTTCCGACGAACTGATATTTAATGTTCTCAAGTCACCATGAACGTAGCCATCGACGTCTGTTATGATGTTTGTGAAAAAGTTGTATTGCTAAATATATCCAGAAATATTTCAGAGGTAAAATATTCTATAATTATAAGAAAAACAATATTGATTTTTTAAAAAAGTTAATTTTATTTAACTGTTTTTCTAATTTATTTATCGATTTTTATCATCAAATAAAAATAATAGTAAAAGACACTAGTGTGTCTGTGACAGTAAATAGGAAACAGTTTTAAGTTTCAGTATATGTTCCTAAAAAGTAAGTTAAATTCTATAAACTTCATTTTAAATTCACCGCCAATCTACTTAGCCATCAATGTTTAATCGTAATATACCGGGTGCTTCTCAAAAGTGGCTCACCCCTATAACTTTTTTATTTTTTTAGTTAAAAAAACGAGATTTGGTATGTTAGTATATGACATAAATTAGGATTGGTTGACGTATTCAATTGTTTTCGGTCACTTCCGGTTTCACCGGAAATGACTACAACTTTTGATTTTTAAAAATAATAAAAATTTTAATTTTTAACAGCCCCAAATTTTATAACAGCGTAGGATAGATGTTTAATCCAATTGAAAGTTTTGTGTAAATTAATCCATAATATAATTTATAAATTATATTTAATCTACTAGACAAAGAAATTACATTAAAAATATCTTACTTTATACATGTCAAATTAACTATACATGGTGAGTCTAAAATAAGGGCAAATATTTTTATGGCTGGTAGATCTCGAGAAAAGAAATGTATTGTCACTTTGCGGTTTTTCAAATAAGTCCAAAATAACTGTGATATTTTACGTTGAAAATTACAACAAAAATTTTTCGCTTAAATTTTGAGAACCACTGGATCTTTTCTGGATTTTCTTTCATGTAACTTTAATCTACTACCTATGCTGACATATTACGGAAGTATTTTTTTTCCTTAAAATTCGAAACTTGCGAAAAAAGTTTTTCGCAAAAAACCTAATAGACTTCTTTTTGCGGTCGAAATATACTACTCTTAAACACATTTGTAGTTATTTAAGACTCCCCCTGTATAATACTGTATAATAACGTTTTGTTACCGTGTTTTTAAAAAGTTCGATAAAATGTTTCAGGATCAATTGCATAACACCTTCCCCGACCAGGAAGACCCATCTGAATACAGCTTCCGTAAATACGCGGCTACATACTTTATTCATGGAACCGGTGTTCAACATTCTAGAAAATCACCTCGTACAGCCCTTCACGAACTACCAACTCCAGACGACATTTTGGCCGCCCAAGCTTTATGGTCTGCTATCTTACGGTTTATGGGAGACATGCCGGAACCTAGAAGTAATTTATTTTTAGAATATTGCTATTTGTATTTTATTAACTGAAGCCATACGATTATATGACCTAAAAAAACAGCAGCAAAAATGGCTGGGGAATGATAATCGACGATAGTTTTGACGAGGTCAAGCCCTACTAGGCACTTACTGCCAGTAGGTTTTAACAAGGTTGTAACTATAGACATATCTGGGGGAACGGTATAGTAGTGCCCCCGCCAAGTTTTAATTGCCAATTTCTAAGGTGCTTAAAAAGAGACTAAATAAAACAAACGACTTGGTTTGACATGAGATCTCACAACTTTTTATAGTGGAAGAATTGTGTTGCGAGACTTGGCATTTTTTTACATTCTATGTTTTTGATGGGATATTTTATTATAAACATTTGTTGTTTCAGTAAGTAGAGAAAATGATGGTCCTCAAGTTCCCGTAATGGCTCAACTGAACGAGACAATCAGCAGGGCTTTTGCCAACAGGAAGGAATACCAGCGCATCGTTCAAGATGAGCGCAAACAGATGCAGTCTCTAAAGAAATCTGATAGACAGAGGTTAATTCATATGACGTTGAAGAAAAAGACAAAATTACTAGACGATGTAAAGAGGGGATTAGTCGAGGATTCATTCGCTGTGAAAAATTACAATGATTGGTTACACCACAAAAGGACAAATAATCTGGAAAAATTGCACTTCATAATTGGCCATGGTATACTACGACCCGAATTAAGGTACTTATGATAAATAGGTATTTTTAAAGCGAATTGATTTTAACATATTTAAATTAAGTAATGTGTGTAAAATCTACCACAGTAATCTAAATAGTTATCAAAAATTGGCAGCCGCAACTTCAATTTCTTATTAAACAAACGTTGGCATAAACCATGATAGTAAGATTTATAATACACATATTGTAGTGAATTGGAGAATTCTTAATATAACATATTATGATACTTTTAGAGATGAAATACTCTGCATCATCTGCAAGCAGTTAACTAACAATCCCAGTAGAGCTTCGTATGCTCGAGGATGGATACTTATGTCCCTTTGCGTAGGCTGCTTCCCTCCATCTGAGCGATTTGCTCCATACTTTAGAGCTTTCATTAGGACTGGACCTCCAGGTTATGCACCCTTCACGGAAAACAGATTGGCTAGAACCCTACAGAATGGAGCCCGAAGCCAACCTCCCACGTGGCTTGAACTTATTGCTAATAAGGTGAGTACACTACACTAAAATAAGATGAAAAAGTATATTGGTGCTGTATAATATAAGAATGACACAAGTACCAACCCTAAGCCTTTATGATTATAGCTATGATGATTATAGGACATATAAAATAAGAAAAATGCTAATACTTTTAGTTTGCCTGTTACTTTAATGACTAATTATTGTGTCATAGATCAATTTACGAAGCAGGCAATTGCTGGAATAACTAGCTGATATATTATTACTACAATTTTATACATTTCAAAACCAATGTAAAGTAAACTATAGAGGATAACTCATTGCAGCTTTATTTAGATTGTTAACATAAGCTTCGTTTGAGTTATACTCTGTTCTTATGTAATTATTATTAGCCATACCGTATCGATTGGAACAATGTGAAATTCCACCCTTTATACTTTTTTCAATAAATAGAATCATATCATCATCGGTAAAAAATTCAAACTCAACTTCAGTACTTTTAACATGCTATCAAATGCAAAACCCGAGGTCTAAGAATGTAATACAATCATTTCATAAGTATCTAAACTAATTTCTCTATAGTTTTGAAATACGTCTACTAAAAGTAACAGATCCATTTTTAGATATAATTCAGCGTATGCCGTAAGACTTTTTATATTAAAAGTTTTCCACAAGTTACACTCGTGTTCATAATAATTTTGTGATATATCAATTTTTTTCATTAATTTCACTATATTTTTTTTATAAAATATAGTTCTTGTAATTTCGACCAACACTCCATAATTATATGGAAATCTCCTTTCCGAATGACTAAATAATTGTGTGACATTGCTGTAATGTTTTCTGGTTACGATTATTATCTAAATAGGACGATAAAGTTTCTAACCTACTAGCTATAAATCTATACGCATTCAGAAATCTAAAATTGATATTTGTATTTCTTATGTATTTTAAAATTATACATATATATTTTTCTTTATTTGCGAGTAGCAAGTTAAATTCTCCTGCGTTTTCGGTACAAAGGGTCTTAATTATTAAATCGAGTATCGTAACCAGAAAAGTTATGAAATATTCAATGTGCTGTATAGTCGAGATGGGGGGGGGGGGAAGAGTCGGGTTCGGAGTTATATCAAACTTCATGGAGTTAATCCAGGTTAATTTTTTGTTCGCGTTCAAAAGTTTTGTAGTCTGTTAGGGAAATCTGATGTTTGCGTTTTTCCAAATCCTTATCACTAGACATGTTTTGTCTTCCGGTATACCGGTACCAGGACCGGTACTTTTGAAATATTCCGGTATCGGTATCGTCTTTTTCAAGACCGGTATACCGGTTTCAGGACCGGTACTGGAAGACCGATTTTGGTACCGGTACCAGAATATCGGTTTAAGTCGGTCCCGAAAACCGGTTTCAATCGATACCGGAAGACTGGTGGACGATTTTGGTACCGGTTTTTGTGCAAAGCTGATTGTATTCTCCTACTCTAGGTACCGTATGATCGAAAAAAAACTGCGTCAGCGATGGCTATGAAATGAAGATCGCTGTCATGTAATATTATATGGGGAATGTAATCGATGTTCATTTCCAAGCCAACTGGACTCTGTATCATTCAGTATCATACGGTCAGGAACATGCAATGTAATTTATTTTGATGTATGTTTAAGGCACTACTACTCTAATTTGATAATTTGATCTAATAAACTTGTCTTCTTTTTTTTAGTACATATAAAATTGAAGTAAAGAATCTGACTCATGAATCACTTATCTATATTATATAAATTAAAAAGTCCTTAAAACTCAGGCCGATATTCAATAGCGTCTACCCAATTATTTAAAATATGTAAAATAGCATCTTATTTCCGCTCCATTTATATCTCCAATAACAGCAGCTTCCAGTACTTTTTCCATTTTTCATAACTAAAGAGAATGTTGCTTTAAGTTAGATCAATAACGTCTTAACGGTAACGGATAGATTTACGATATAGTCCGAGAAATCTAATTTATCCCTCAAAATACCGTATTTATTACGTTATCGTATATACTTAACGTTGCAGGCACGAGAACATTCTATTTACGTTTTTTAATACGGTGTCATGAGGTAAATGCTCACTGGCACAACAACCAAAACTATTATTTCGGTCTTCCGGTACAACCGGTCCAGCCGGTATACCGGTTAAGTATCGGTTCCACCGATCTAATTGTTGGAACCGGTATACCAGTTGTAGGACCGAACATCCGTACTTATCACCTAATCTTAGATATTCTATTTATTTGTTAGAGGCACCTTAAGGTTTAAATATATGACTATGAGTCCAAGCATTACAAACTTTACATAGTAATTAAAGATAGTCGAAACACAATTACAACCTTCCATCAAAGCTGCCGCATAGACATTTCTTCATGCTAAGAGCAAAATGATCGGCATATAATTTTGCTCTCGGAGAGAGGTCGTGTATTCGCATCCATCTCGACTTACTTATCTGTACTGTATAGAGGATATCGTGAACTTAAAAAGTATTTTCACAAAACCATAGACGTATTTAAATGATTTAGTATAATTAACTGACTAAAATACTTCATTATATTACAGAACAAGAGTCTAATATCTCTCAACATCACTCTGTTGGATTCATCAGAACTTACAGTTGAGGTAGACTCCGCTACTACAGCCGAAGAAATTATTGCTAAAATATCCACATCACTTAACATGAAAGATACATTCGGCTTCTCGTTATTTGTGGCCCTGTACGACAAAGTCATGTCATTAGGAAGTGAAGGAGATCACGTACTAGATGCGATATCTCAATGTGAACAGTACTCAAAAGAGCTAGGACACGAAGAGAAAAACAGCCCTTGGAGGCTTTTCCTTAGAAAGGAAATGTTTGCTCCTTGGCATGATCCTACAGCTGACAGTGTAGCTACTGACCTAATTTATAAACAGGTATTTTATTTTTTTTTGCTAATATAACTGTAATTTTTAATGTGTTCTTACAGGTAATGCGTGGATTAAAAACTGGTGAATATCGATGTCCACAAGAAGGTGACGTTGCGACATTAATAGCGACACAGTTTTATATTGAGCAAGGTGCTACATTAAGTTCCAAGGTAAAGTAACATAATATATAAAACATTTTAAATTTTAACGCAGTAACTATATAATCTTCTCTGTTAGATTTTACATAGCCGAATAGGAGAATTTTTACCGGTATCTATAGTTCAACATTCTCAAGGTAATCTACTTCCATGGGAGCAAAGGATAGCCCAAACCTTTGATATGTTGGCGTGTGTGAAAAAGAAGTGGCCAGTACCTAAAGCGAAGGAATCCATTGTCATTTACAGGTTAATTAAAGTATAAAGTGGAGGTTTGCGAAATATCAAAGTTAATTCTTTTTATAGTAAATCTACTTGGCCAATATTGTTCTCCAAATTTTATGAAGGTTTGCAAGTATCTGGCCCTGAATTACCTAAAAAGAACGTCATTATTGCAGTGAACTGGACTGGTATTTATATGATCGATGACCAAGAACAAATATTATTGGAATTGACATTCGCTGATATCTTCTTTATCACATTCGAAAATACAAATAAGATGGCTCCAAAATTAATATTTACTACGGTATAAATGATTGTTAATTTTTATTCCAATCTGATTTGGGAGTTGCATTGTTTTGAGCATCCGATTATTAAATTTTGTAGCCACATTTTGAAGACTGATAATTAAAAAATGGTCGATTAATAATTTTAGTTGCGCAACAAAATATTTTTATACGGGGTGTGTCATGTAATCGAGACCAATACCAACTTTTTATTTTATACAGGGTGCGGCAATCTGTAGCTCCTAGAATAAAAAAAACTTAAGGATTTTGTTTAAGTGCAAACCTGAAGTATGTACCAGGATGTATTTTAGGAAAATAATTTAACTTCTATAGGGTGGCTGAAAAAAGTGTGAGTGGATCTGGATTTTTTTTTAAATGGAACACCCTGTATATTATTGCATTTTTGGCTTCTTTTTAGATCACTTACATAATCCTAAGATATGAGTAAATATATTTCGATAGTTTTGGAGCTATTAAAAAATAAATCAAAAATATATATGTTTCAGCTCTTCATAAAAAAATTATTAAAAATACAAGAACAGTTCTGAAATCAAAACTATATTAGGTATTTACTTTAGATGGTCTGTTCATATTTTGCTATAAATATGGTAATCGTAAATCATACACGATGTTCAATATTCTACGCCAAATTTTCTAAAATATAAAATATTTTTTCTTTGTTTTTTTTAATTTATTGTATCCTGTATATTATTTTTTTTATTAGATGGAGAGTTAAAAAATTAGTATTTTTTGTTTTAAAGTATTTAAATTTTTTTAATAGTTTTGCAAAATATGAGAGAAAAATCATTGGGTGCCTTTGATAAAAATTTACTGTGGAAAATGCCATATAAAATATAAAACCGCGAATATCTGCGAAACCGTTAAAAATTTTGAAATACTCTAAATATAAAAAATGTTCATTTTTTAATTCTCCATCTATTGAAAAAATAATATACAGGGTATTCCAATTAAAAAACCAAGAAAAATTATTTTATATTTTAGAAAGTTTGGCGTAGAATTTTGAACATCCTGTATGATTTACGATTTCCATATTTATAGGAAAGTTAGTACAGATCATCTAAAGTAAATGCCTAATATAGTTTTGATTTTAGAACAGTTCTTGTATTATTAATAATTTTTTTAAGAAAGACTGTAAAATATATAATTTTTCTTTATTTATTAATATTTCTGAAATTATCGAAATATATTTACTCATGTCTTAGGATTATGTAAAGTGATCTGAAAGTAAGCCAAAAATGCAATAATATACAGGGTGTTCCGTTTAAAAAAATTCCGATCCCGATCCACTCACACTTTTTTGAGCCACCCTATAGAAGTTAAAATATTTTCCTGAAATACATCCTAGTACATACTTTAGGTTTGCACTTAAACAAAGTTCCCAAGTTTTTTATTCTAGGAGCTACACATGCCCGACGCACTATTCCCGAACCCTGTATACAACATCCTGTATATTATTCAATTTTTGGGTTATTTAGAAAATTATAGAATTATTTCATGTACAGTCATATAGCTATTTTCAGCTATTCCGGAAATATTATTTATAACGATGATCGAAAAAAACAGCACCTAGTTGGCTTGGAAATGGCGACACAGGACAAAAAAAAATACGATTACAGGACAGCAATTATAGTATTGCCAGTATTATAGTCGTCTGAATTTTGTTAAATTAGAAAAATAGTTCATTCAACAGAAATACAAAATAACAATTCTACAGATTAATAGTTGGATGCTGTTCGAATGATTATATCACAAAACAATACAATTTGGCCACCCATAAAAAAGCATAACTTCTCCTTTAACTGCTTTTCTGGTAAAACAGAAAAGCAGTTAAAGAAGAAGGCAGTTGGAATACACTGGTAACTGGTACATATGGTAACTAAGAAGAAGATGAACACGCACCATTGATTAAACCCTACTCCGATGCTTCTCACAACACATTCTTCTAATTTAGTGTTTAAGAAAGTAGCTTAATAAAATAATGTTTGTTTCAATTTATAACTATCAATGCGCGAAAAGTCGCTACAAACTTAATAAAGACAATACTAGTCCGACATATGAGATTAAATCAAGATTTTACTTATTGTTCATATTTCAAACATTCTTAATTTTGTTTCTGATCTAACATTTTTAGGTTGCAAAAGAGGAATACGTTTTTATCAGTCCAGATGCTCAAAACCTTTGTTCTCTAATCCAGTTTATCATAGACGGTTTGAAACAACGATCTATATACTGTGTAGCTACTCAAGACTATCGACATCAAACTGATGCTGAATCTTTCCTAGCATTCAAGAAAGGCGATTTAATAATTTTGAAAAATAACACCAATGGCAAGTCGCTCATGACTTCTACTTGGGGATTCGGAGAATGTAACGGTAAATCAGGAGATTTTCCAACCGAGATGGTGTATATACTGCCTACTATGACGCCTCCACCTCAAGATATTTTGACTGCTTTTAAGAAAGAGCGTATAATTGGTAATTAATTTCTTTCGACACAATAAATGAGCAATATATATATAGCAAATTAATTTCAGAAAAACAATCTTCTGCTCCGGCACTGACTACATTACAACGCATGAGATTATACACTCTGGCACACTATGCTGATGAACATTTCCGTAGTGCTAGACGAGTAACTAGCATTAATAGACCTTCTGTGATGACTGCTGCTAGAAGAAATTCCAAAGAAGAATTATGGAAATATACAAACGAACCAATTTATCAACCATTACTGCAAAAAGTTATGGAAGATGAAGAAGCCAGTAAAGAAGCTTGTAACATATTTACAGGTAAGCAAATTCTTTCAATAAAATACCATTATTAAACAGCGTCTACACTATGCGTCTAAACTCTTCGAAACATGTCAAGGTCGCATTTCGTCGCCCAACTTTGACGTATTTCGATTTATTTCCACTTGTCTTGACGCACTTCGGTTTGTCTCGACTTACCTTTCGATTCTTAAAAGCGCCTGAAAACTACTCGTGAGGAGGGCGTGAGGGGATTTTTTTGCCGTTTTTTGTTGCCTCGTTCAATTTTGTTTTGTTTTGAGCTGTTTCCAAAACGTGGCGGTATCTGTGTCCGAGGCAAAGGATATTTTTTTCATTAATCTCAGTGAAATAAGTAAACCTAGAGATAGAGTTTCTAAAATAGCTGTTGTTACGATGATATTTCGTTAATTACATCTCGCTTTACATTACATTGATTTTTACTTTTCACTTAAACTGCAGGAATATAATTACAATATTTTTATGATTTAATTTTATTATAATGAATTAGTATATAAAATTATATATGATATGTTTGTTTTCGGCCTTAATTGATTAGTATAACAGTAGTATTGCTTGACGAGTAATACTGGTAACATTATCAATATATCGGCTTTGGAAAATTATTAATTGACCCGATGTCAACAAAAGTATGGTCCACGGACATTATTTAATAGCAATGTTCTTTTATAGTGTTTAAGAGAAATCTGTAAATGATACTTTTATTAGCACCCAGCATGGTTTGATATAAATCCATTCAACTAGTATTTATTATGCAGGGATTTAGACAATTAAAACTAGAAAAACAAAACCTAATTCGTAAACTAAACTTTGCTACATACTACAGTATAAATGTTACTTTACCATAACCAGAAATAATAAATAATTAGACGATTTTTTAAATAATTCTGTGTATATTTTGCTCATGAGGCAATACCGTGGATTATAAGCCGATACAGACCGCAGTTAGTCACTGTTTTATATTTTTTTACTATATTGTAATTAGTAATATTAGAAAACTAAATATTCTTGTGTAACCTTTGAGGAATAGCCAATTTAATTTACCATCGGTAACTGTTTTCATATCAGTTTTTCCATGTTTACTTATTTTTCTGAAGCTACCACAACGTTTGACCTTGTTTGCTTCGTGCTATTTCACAAAATGGTACGATAAATATAAGCCCCAATAAATATAAGCTCCGAGACGTACCGTGATTGGTTCTTTATTTTTTATTGCTAATCTGGGTTATCAATAAAAACAACCAATCACGGCGGGTCTCGATCTATTTCAGGAAACGTCATTTTTATAACATGGGCTTATGTTTATGGTACTATTCCAGAAATGTTTTGCGAAATGTTTTACGAAATATTTCCAGATATATTTCGTAAAATATTTCGGGGATAGTGGATAGTTTTTATATACTAATATAATATTAATATCAAATACGTTTGTTTTTTAGTAATATTACGGTACATGGGCGACTTACCTGCTCCCAAAGCCAAGTATGCGAACGAATACACTGACCAAATATTCAGCAGTCCTTTGAAGAACGAAATACTCAAAGACGAAGTATACTGTCAGATTTTACGACAGTTAACATTCAATAGAATGGCAATCAGCGAGGAGAAGGGCTGGGAGTTATTGTATTTAATAACAGGTTTATTTGTACCTAGCACTGTCCTATTGGAGGAAACTAAAAAATTCCTAAAATCTAGAGTTCATCCATTTGTTGAACCCTGTCTACAAAGGCTTCAAGTAAGAAGATTTCTATTTAGTATTTCTTCAATTACTTATATATTAATTATTTCAGAGAACATATAAAGTTGGTCCAAGGAAATTCCCTCCTTATTCTGTTGAAGTTGAAGCCATTCAACACCGTAGTATGGAAATTTATCATAAAATTTACTTCCCTAATGATACTGATGAGGCATTCGAAGTGGATTCTATGACTAGAGCGTCAGATTTATGCAAGAATATAGCTGCGAGATTAGATTTACTATCGACGGATGGATTCAGTCTTTTTGTAGCTATTGCGGATCGAGTATTCTCAATTCCGGAAAGTTATTTCTTCTATGATTTCTTGAGCGAATTGATAAATTGGATGAGGGCAACCAAACCTAGTTGGGGCAGTAAGTAAAATATTTAATTCACTTTCTGTATGATTTAAGAATATAATTATACGATACGCAGTATTAAACAGATTATTCTAAATTATTGAGAAAGTCCCTGCTATGGATATTCATTACCATCAACAGATATACAGGGTGAGTGTTAAATAAGGGCAAATATTTTCAGCTCTGGTAGATCTCGATAAGAGAAAAATAGTTTCTCTTTACCGTTTTTCAAATAACTCCAAAAGAGCCGAGTTATTTTACTTTGAAAATTTAACAAACTTAATTGTTTGGATAAATTTTGAGAACCAGTGGATCTTTTCTGGGTTTTCTTTCTTGTAAACTTAACCTACTACATATGGTGCCATATTATCAACATACGCTTTTTTACTTAAAATTAAAAATCTCCCAAAAATTTTCAAAAATCTTTTTCCAGAAAAAAACCTCCTAGGCGTGTTTCTTGGGTCGAAATATACTACCCTTATAAATATTTGCACTCATTAAGACTGACCCTGTATCTTATACATATGGATTACAAGCACGATGATTCACAAAATTTATATTAAAATGACCGTCTGTCCGTCTGAGGACTCCATTCGGGTACCTCTATCCACCTGCCCAGTTTGGTTCTATTTGACCCATAATTAAGACAAATTATTTGACGATGAAATTGATGATTTCGTCCATATAGAAGCATCGGTTCGAGACGTCGTGCGTCAAGGTCGTCATCCTGTAGCCCGTCCCCAATTATGCCGAATTCGACCCAAATTTTTCTTCAGTATAAAATTATTAGTCCCACCCTGATGAAGATGTAAATGAAACGTCGTATCCAACTTCGCAGGGTGGGATCCTGTGCATTGTCGCTCACGTAGCCTACCTACTAATTTGGTCGCGATTTGACATCAACTTTTGGCGTCTCTTACATAACAACTAACTGCCACAGTGACACGAATCTACCGATATACCAAATTTTATTTAAATCGGACGATTTTTTCGCCATTAATAACAGGGTTTCATAGTGCACGAAACGTCGTCAAAATATCATGAAAAGATAAGGAATGATAGAGAAACTGAATGATTCTGGAATTTTAATCAAAAGATACAGAATGATACTGAAACACTCGAAGAGACCCATATATAATCCGAGTTTCAGTCCCCTAGCTCACAGATCCTCATTAGCTAATCGCTTTTTCGATCGTTATCATTTTTTGTCTCGCGTGTCTTGTCGCTAGATCGTGTGTCACGGCCTTGAATTTTTACTCCCAGCACGTGTAGGTTAGGTTAGGTTGCTGGGGTTTGGGATCATATTTGATCCCTCACTCGGAGGCCTTGGGCTCATTGCGATACCCCTGTTATTGTTGTACCAAACCTTCCTCTCATTCTTTCTTTGCGTTAAAGCACTTCCAGCTTTTTGCAAAGTTCCCGATGTCGCTGATGTTGGCTTCTGGTGCTTCCTCTAGTCCCTCCAAAAAACCTTGCCCTAAAGTTTTAAAGCGTCGGTATTCCAGTGCCGGGCAGTGGCACAGCAGGTACTCTATTGTTTCTTCTTCCTCTTCGCATTCTCTGCAGTAGTCGTCGTCGGAAACTTTCCATCTCACGAGGTTTACCCCCGTGGGACAGTTTCCAGTGACGACACCTACAATTACGCGTACTAGGTCCTTTTTGTGCTCTAGTAGTTGTTTTGTCTTTTTGCTATCTACCACTGGCCATAGTCTTCGAGCTGTAGCGCAGTCCTCACGGTGTTGCCACGTCTCTTGATGCTTGGCTTTGATGGCAGTTCCTATAGCCTCCTTCAGTGTGTTGATCGTCACAAGTGGTGGGTCATCTGCCACGGCCTCTCCCCTGGCCCCGTCTTTGGCGAGTCTGTCTGCTTTCTGATTGCCCCCCACATTGCAGTGGCCTGGCACCTAGCACAGAGTAGCCCCGCCCTGACGCAGCCAGGACAGTGCTTCTCGGCATTCCATCACAGTTTTCGATCTCACTGATTGCATGGTGATGATTCTTGAAGCGGCCAAGCTGTATATCACTATATACCCTATTGGTCTATCAGCAATTTTCTCTCGTATGCAACTAGCTGCTTGCTTTATGGCGTAAACCTCTGCTTGTAGAACATTACAGCCATCCGATAGCCTTAAAGATCATCGGATGTCTAGTTCCTCTGAGAAGATGCCTATACCTGTGTCCCCTGAAGTTGAGGAAGAATCTGTGTAGACTGTTATCTCTTGAGTGTTCATTACTCGGTTGCTTTCCCATTCTTCTCATTCTTCTCTTGTCGGGATGCGAATCCTTATCTTTTCTCCAAAATCATGTTTGGTGAGCATATAGTCCGTTTTCTGGTCTAGCAGATGTGGACTCGTGTTCACTATGATTTTCCCTATCACTGGCAATATCCTCGAGTGACCGTAGTTGGTCTGGTTCCACAGATTGGATTCCCTTAATCTTAGGGTACCCTTAGCGGCCAGATCCTTCACGAGCCAGTCGATTGATTGCTTCTAGCGCAGCTTGTGCTGTGTTGTTCCTTGCTCCAGTTGTACCTAGATATACTTTTGTGAGGCTTTGTGCCCAGCGCGTGTAAAGAAGTTTCACTTCAAAAATTAGATAACACTTTAGGTCAAAATTTCGACATACGACTAATATCATTATTCCTTTAGGTGCCGCTCCAATCCAAGCCCAGTATCAAGTGTTCTTCATGAAGAAGCTTTGGGTAAATACCGTCCCAGGAAAATGTCTCAATTCAGACCAAATATTCCACTATCACCAGGAACTACCTAAATACCTGAAAGGTTATCATAAATGCAGTAAGCAAGATGCAGTCAAGTTAGCCGCCTTTATACTTCGAGCTAGGTTCGATAATGACCAGCAAGAGGTTCAATCAGTAAGAACAAATTAATTATTTTTTTATTTATTTTTATCAATTTTAATTGACGTATAGGTAATTCAAAACAACGTAAAAGAATTTATTCCGCATGATCTAATAAAAGCAGCAAGCAGTAGTGATTGGAAGAGATCGATTTCTGCCGAATACAAATCTGCAGCGTATAGTGTTCCCGAAGCTAAAGAAGCTTTCTTAAAATATATTGCTTCCTGGCCTACATTTGGATCTACCTTCTTCGAAGTAAAGCAAGCCACTGAACCGTCGTATCCAGAAATAATTCTAATTGCTATTAATAAAAGGGGAGTAAACATTATACATCCACACACTAAGGTAAGTTAATTTTTAGCAAAACTTTAAATAGTACTAATTGATTATTTTTCTTTAAAGGATATATTGGACGTTCACGATTATTCAGAATTATCAAACTGGGGGTCGGGTAATACGTATTTCCAACTGACTATTGGAAATATCATGAGAAGGACAAAGCTATTATGCGAAACGTCGCAAGGATACAAAATGGATGACCTAATTACCTCTTATATAAAGTTCTTTAAGGAAAGTGCTCAAAAAGAAAGAAGTAACGATATATTTTTGTAATATTTAAGTAAAAAATCTTAATTTATTGGAGTTTGACGATTTGATAAAAATGTAATTAACCATTTCAACTGTATTTATTAAATATAATGACGATATTTGAATTGTATGCTCTTATTTCTTGTTGTTACACATAGTTGTTTTCACGTGTGGAATCTATTTTTTGTATTAACATAAAGTGTATTCGTTATGGCTTAAGCAAAACGTATATAGTCAACAGATACGAATGTTAGATTTTATATCATAGCTGCAATTCACGTTTAAATAGGAGAGAGTGGGAGTAAAGATCTTTTAGATGAAGCTTTGAATAAGAAGACTAAGGAAGGAGCATATCAAAAATCTTAGGTCCACCGCGATGGGCATCAAATATGGCCGACTTAAATTCCGGTTTATCAGTGCCGTTCTAATTTTATTTAAAAAATGTAAAACTATGATGTAGGGTAGACGTGGGGTAGACTCAATATTTTTTTTTTATTTTTCGTTGTGAATAAATGTTGGTAGTTATTAAAATTGTTATAAAAATATAAAATTCTAATAAAAATAGATAAAAGTTATAATAATTATTTATAACCATAAATATCCGATACGCTACTGATGTAGGTAAGTCAAATTTACGTATCTAAATTCTTTGACATCTAATCTTTGACAAGTAGTAAATAAAAGCAAAAATGCAAGAAAAAATATATAATTAGTTAATTTAAGTGAATTTCATAAATGATCGGTTTACTACACGCACGTATATTATATAGTCACTTACTAGCGAAAAGTTGTTCCATTATTTCACTCGAGATCTACCGCACGCTATACAACCAACTATTTTAGTTAGAGTCTTTTTCGATAAATCGCGATAGTGTCACTGTTAATTTAAGTTCTGCCACAATTTCCATCTAGATTTACTACCTTTATACAACTATCAGTAGTAGAATAAATAATAAATAACATAAAATAAGCTCCGTAAAGACTGACAAATCCACAAAATTTCAAATCAAATTCAAATGTGTCAAATGAATCGTCAAACAGAACTGTCAAGGATCCCCACCCTAGAGTCCTTTTTCCGCCCACCATGCATGAATACATGCATAGCATTATGCTCCTTCCTTAGTCTTCTTATTCAAAGAGACGAACGGATTTATGGTATATAACTCACTGATTGGGGGTAATCACTGCCTAATAGAGGCGGGCAAAAATTAAACTAATCGTTCATTTGAATAAGTATTAAAAATGAAATAAAGATATCAAAATATTTACTTTCTATTTTCATTTTTAGAATTTTCACAAATTATATACTTCGTAACACTTTTAGAATAATTATATAATAAATTTTTCGTATACCTACTCCCTATTTAAACCAGTGTAAACTAGTTTTTTAAAATATTCTCCGATGGTGGCAGCACCGGCGGAGAATACACCAAGCCTATAAGCAAAAATTGTATTTGCAAAAGATGGCTTGTCAACACCCAAATTGCTCTTGGTGCAATTTGTCGGTAAAATAACCTTTAGGCTTGGACGATGATAAAACACTCTTGATTGGCATTTACAAAATGCCCAATTACAAATAATTTTTTTTAGAAATTATTAAAATCGCTACCATGTACGATACGCCTGCCGTAGCTGAACTCCTGAATAAATGCCTTATGCTTGGCTAATTCTCAAAACCTTGGAAAGTTGCAAACACCTTTCAACTTTTGAAACAAAGAAACTTTTTAAAACACTCTTGATTGGCATTTACAAAATGCCCAAATTTTGTGCACATGCTATATTATTTTTTTTTACAACTAAAGATATAGGTATATTGTATAATCGAAAAAAAGACAGCGTCAAGTAGGCTTAGAAATGACGATTGATAATATATTCCCCATATAATTTTACATATAAAATGGCAGCAATCTTTATTTTTAAGCTAACTCCGACGCTGTTTTTTTCTGATCGTATTGGAGTACCATCTATCAATGAAATAAAACACTAAACTTTTCAAGGTTAAAACTGCATATTTATTTAAACTCTTTATATACAATCATCTACTAAAGTGGTAGTAACTTTTTTGTATTTATTTCACACTAGGCCGAAAAACGCCCTTTAAAATTATTATACATCGCAAAAAACATACATACACATCCTCCTGCTAAAGTATATTCTACAGTATTTTTATGAGATTACAGGATCATAATATATCGTTTGATAGGCGTGTAGCAAGAGGAAACTTCTAACTCATTTATGTCAGAACGAAATAATCTGACTCGTTGTATAACTCAAAAAAAAATGAGCTCGGGACATTATACAGTTTTTGTTGATTAAATTTCATTAGCAAAAAGGCCAGAAGATAAAAATATCACCTGGTTATATACAACACGACCAAGTAGTCAAGTTATCACTCAATCTAGCCATTATAGTCTAAACTTTTAGAAAAAATGTTACGTAATTATATAGATATTTAAAAATTATTTTCGCAAAGTATGAATCAGTATTGTCTCGGCGTGATAAGATTCTCACGAGGGGTCGAATAATACACGGGAATGTTTCTAGGTTCAATAATTTTTATCCAGGTTACTCTTTAGCAAAAGGTGTATAACACCATCATAGCCATGATCAAATAGGTAAATAAGAAAACACATTACAAAAATCTCAAAAACAATAAAATATACTTAAAAAACTGGTTCAGAAGAGGTCCAGAACTAGTTCTCCAAATTTTAAAAGTTACATCAAAATTCACGTTACATCTTCGTTGTTTTCGCCCTATGAGTGCATGATAAGTTTCTTGATGCCTACTATGTTTCCCTTGATTCTAATGATCAAATTATTTGAAATAAAAAGTTAAAATTGGGATAGAAAACTAACAAATCTTTTATTAGACACAGACAATTCTGTTCATTCAATCTGCAGAAACATAAGGAATTTTTAATTTTGCTTTTGTATTGTTTAAATATTACCTTTTCTTGCAATTAAGCATTCCCATATCTTATAATTTAGGAGATTCATGTAGTGTGCTCTTTTATCTAACATAATCTGTATATTATATGCTACAAGGACTCAATGATATATTATTATAAACTATTCATGGCCAATGCCTTTATCAAAGGGACAAATCTAAAAATTCTCTATATTTAAGAAAAAAAATGCTATGATCGCTACATTACATTATACTTATTAGTAACTCTGTAAACCAGCTCTTGGTTTAATAATATATTAAAATCATTGTACACTATGTATATAATATTATATAACTCTTAAAAAGTATCAATACAATATAAATAAATAAAGCACTAAACAATATTTGAATTGTTTCTGCGCAAGAACCAAGAATACAAGCAGTCTTTGGTATATTCCTTACTTTAAGTACAAATGTTTTTGTTTTCTTAAAATATATAGCAGTTTCAAAATTAAGTTACTATCTACACCACATGTTTTTTATTTATGTAAAATAGAGTTTAAACTGTTTAATTTAAAAAAAATAAAATACAGGTAAATATTTAAAAAAATAATGATGTCTAAAAGTATATTAAAAAAAAAAACAATTTAACTATTTCGTGTCTTGAAAAATAGAGCGACCTTTAAAACACTATATACTATTAAAAATTACTATTCTTCTTCCAGGACTAATTAATTATATGAATCTTCTGATGTATAGAAACCATAATTAATTTTGAATCTTTTTTAAAACAGCCTCTACACTAGCGCAGAACTCTTCGAAACAAGTGAAGGTTGCGTTTCGTCGCCCGTTTCTTAAAAGCGCCTGAAACCTACTCATGAGGAGGGCCTGGGGGGATTTGTTTTGGCGTTTCCCGTTGCCTCGTTCAATTTTCTTTAGTTTTGAGTTAGTTCCAAAACGTAGCGGTATCTGTACCCGAGGCAAAGAACTTTTTTTCATAAATCTCAGTGAAATAAGTAAACCTAGACGTTCCTAAAATAGCTATTGTTACGTCTCGTTTTATGTTGATATATATTCCACAAGATTAATATTTGAATACGCGTTTATAATATGTAGAGTAGACATTTAAGAATCACCCAATCTTCAGGAATATAATTACAATATATTTATTATTTAATTTTATTATAATATAATTCGTATATAAAATTGTATATGTTATGTTTGTTTATGTGGCCTTAATTGATTAATATAACAGTAATATTACTTGATGAGTAATACTGTCAACATCATCAATATATTGAGCTGATTGGGAAAATTTTTGATTGACCCGATGAGAATAAGATACTTTTATATATAATAATAACATGGTTTGATATAAATCCATTCAAAAATGAGAAATAATTAAACGAATTTTGAAATAGTTTAACACCGTGGATATAACCTATAAAAGGCGGACCGCCAGAACAGTTAGTCACTGCATATTGCCCTGCAGTTTTATGAAGTTTTGAAAATATATTTTTTACTATATTGTAATTAATGTTAGACAATGATTAAAACTAAATATTCTTGTGTAACCTTAGAAGAATAGCCAATTTAGTCTACCATCGGTAACTGTAGAAGCTGTTTAAAAATATCATTAAATATGATTTTACAAGTAAGTTTGTAGAATGTTACTTAGTTTCGAACCAACTATAAATATATAAATATTTGTGTATAATAATTAAGCTATAAGATTGCATCAAAATACATCTATTATTTAGTAAATGATGTCTAGCACCATTCCCTATTCGTAAATATGTATATACCACCGCTGTTACAGATAATTTAGTTTTAATAAAAATTTTTGTATCAGTATAAACCCACAAATATCAGAAAATAATTGCTTCGATCGTGTTCCAGTTTTGCTAAGGCATCGACTTTCTAACCAGCCTTCAAATAATTAATAGACGTATATATGAACTCGTAGTTTCGAGATAATTTGGGGTCAGAAACAATTCACAATTCGATCGAGTAAATGTACAGAAACCCGCTTTCGCTCGTTCATCACCATGTTGCTTTTTAATACGAAAAAATTTCTATTACTATTTCTACCCCCTGAAAACCTGTCACTCTCCTCCGTCCGTCACTGCTACCTCTCGAAAGATGGCGTTGTCGGTCGATAAACCCGTTTCTAACAGTGGCGTATCGGGCGGTGACACTTGATCCGGTTGATCGTCCGGAGTGGCTGATTTGGGCACGTCGTCGTGCTCTTCTTCTTCGGGAATCGTTTGAGCGACTTCTTCGTTCGAAGACGTTCTACTCGACGATGCCATTTTCTCTTGAATTTTACTAATATCCTGAAACAAAACCGAATTGTCAAGTTTAAAGTATATAAAAGGAGTATTGTAGTTAAATAAATGCAAAAATATAATTTCACAGCAGTCTCTGAAGAATATCTAATGCTTTTCAAATGAGATAAATTTCCGTTTAAAAATGTCTATACCTATGTGGCCGATTCATCTCTCCAAAAATATCCTATATGGGTATTTCGCCACTGCAAGAAAATCTACAAAATAAAATAGTCATTTTTTATAAACACTGCTGCGTTAATCCAGCGGAAACTACTTGTAAGCAGTTAGGTTTACAGGTAAATAAATTTGCCTAACGAACAAAAAAATGCTTAACGTTTTTTAATAGTTGCATTTCAATATTTTAAATATTTTTTTCTTTATTCTTTGTATTTTTTTGGTTCCGACGACGGAAAGAGATAAACTTTCCGAAACGTTAAGCACTTTTTTGTTCAAAATAAAAACACTAAATCACCACAATACACCAAAACACTATTACTTTTACACTGGACGCGCGTTTCGCTAACCATGTTAGCATCATCAGCAGATGATTATAAATTAAAATACAATCTACAAGTTGAGCGTTTACATAATCGCTCAGTGGGCACCGAGCGGGCGTGGCAACATCTAGCCAACCGAGTCAGAGCCCACCGAGAGTAACAGTTAAATTTCCGCCACTAGAGTAGTAGGAACAAAGAACTTGAAGGAATTGGACCGTTGTCTCTGTTCATACTATTTTTACATTTATTAATTCTGATGCTTTCATATGCATCTAATTGCCTGTAATTTGAGACTTGTTTAGTTAATTTTAAATTATTAAGATCTATACAATGTTCTTTATCAACAATATGTTCGGCAACGCAAGATTTATCCGGTCTACCATATCTTATCTGAGTTAAATGTTCTTTAAATCTAGTTAATATTGATCTTCTAGTTTGCCCAACGTATTTCTGATTACAATCTTTACAATCACTTGTAGATTGTATTTTAGTTTATAATCATCTGCTGATGATGCTGACATGGTTAGCGAAACGCGCGTCCAGTGTAAAAGTAAAAGTGTTTTGGTATATTGTGGTGATTTAGTGTTTTTATTTTGCTGTGTAACACCAAAGGTTCCAACCTTCAACTGTAATTTTTTTGTTTGTTAGGCAAATTTGTTTATCTGTAAACCTATCTGCTGACAAGTAGTTTACACTGGATTAACGCAGCTGTGTTTATAAAAAATAACTATTTTATTTTGTAGATTTTCTTACAGTGATGAAATACCCATATCGGACTTTTTTGGAGAGATTTCACTTTGTCATTAACTATAGTCTATTCATGGAGACAATTCACGGAACTCCAATGAATTGAAACTAAACGAATCCAATGAACTATAGAGAGACAATTGTTTCAAATAATAGTAAATATATAGTATATATTTTTTTTTTCAAATAATAGTATCAATAGTAAATTGTAAATTATCTTATTTTTTGGATGACAATAATTGTCCAAATTCCTTCTTCCGTTGCATAGACTTTAATAGAAAACGAAGCATTAGGATCCATATCCATATATAACTATTTTTGATAAATATGTTTTTTACCCCTCTACATGACTTCTTGGGGATAAGTTAACCAAATTATAACATGGATTTATCAGCACAAAAAACAAACATTTTTTTAGACCGATGTTATCAAACGTGAAAATCCAGACCACCAATTTAGGATGACCAGTTTCGAATAAGAAACTTTTTATATTTCATCCTAAGTTAGTTTCTCTGTTTGAAACTATCTTGACTCAAAGTAATAGTTAACAACAAGTTATAACTCACCTGAGCGCGAACAGAAGCGCCACCATCGGGCGACATCCCGTCTTCGCCGCAGGGTCTTAGAACCAGGTACAATAGTATATCAGACAGAGAAATAATTCCAGTGACTTTATCTTCATCGTCGACGACCACCAATCGATGTACTTCCGCTCTGACGATCTTCTCCATCACGTTGAACAGCGTCTCGTCTACTTTGCATTTGTGCACGCCTTCGAACCATTCGTTTCGATGTTCGTTGGCTTTCTTCAGTGATACGTCCAGATCATTGTAAGTTTTTTCGGCGGCCAAATTCTGCAAATTAAATCATTTATATAATTAGTCATCATATTGGTCGTCTAAAAAGGGGCGTTTAGATTCTCAGATAATTAACCTAAAAGAAATAACCTAAGAGACATTCGATCTTTGAATAAAAATATTAAAGAAGAAGCTTATCAAAACACTTAGGTCGGGCGCGATGAAGACCAAAAATGGCCGACTTAAATTCAGGTTTATCAGTAATGTTTTAATATTATTCAAAACGTGTAAAAATGTGATGCAGGGTAGACTCAATAATTTGTTGTTATACCGGGTGCGTCTTAAAAGTGGCTCACCCCCTATAACTTTTTTATTTTTTCAGATAGAAAAACGAGATTTTGTATGTTAGTATATGACATAAATTAGGATTGATTGGTGTATTCAATTGTTTTTGGTCACTTCCTGTTTCACCGGAAATGACTATAACTTTTGATTTTTAAATGGCACCCTCGGTATTTTTTTATTTTACTCGATAGAAAATGACATTCTGAATAGAATGACATATCATATGTCAACTTTTGACATTCTCGCTTAACAAAAAATTGTTTTTTAAAATTCAATCTAGAGTGCCATGTGTATGTTAAAAACACTAATTCTTCATCAAGCCTTGGAAAAATAGATTTGATCGTCTAATGTTTTTAGTGTCTTGTCCTGGCCAGTTAGAAAATGCTCAAATCGTATTTTTAATCGTATCTAATTTTTTTCAAATGGAACGAGGGTGGCTCATTAGCATATTTGGAAAAAGCATTTTTTACGAATAATTTGATACCACACACTTGGTATTTCAAGTCAAATTTTCGTTACGAACCGCAAATTATAATTTCAAATAAACCATATGCGAAAATGTCAAAAGTTGACATATGATATGTCATTCTATTCAGAGTGACATTTTCGTAAGTAAAAAAATACCGGGGGTGCCATTTAAAAATCAAAAGTTGTAGTAATTTCCGGTGAAACCGGAAGTGACCGAAAACAATTGAATACGTCAATCAATCCTAATTTATGTCGTATACTGACATACCAAATTTCGTTTTTTTAATTAAAAAAATAAAAAAATTAGAGGGGTAAGTCACTTTTGAGACACACCCGGAAAAGGAAACTTGGAAACAGTCATTAGTGTCATTCCTGTAATTTCCTGACGACAAGTATGGCCGCTTAGACAAGGACAGCAATGTTTCTGCCTAATTATTGTCTAACTTCACAGTGTGTTTGGAATTGACAGATTTGTTTTGGAACAAATTTATTTAACTATTGTTTGATATTTCGGCTGAAATTTATAAATATAAAGGTAATAAAGCATATAAAATACCGTATGATCGAATAAAAACGGCGTCAGCGATGGCTATGAAATGAAGATCGCTGTCATTTTATATGTAAATTTATATGGGAAATGTCATCGATCGTCATTTCCAAGCCAACTGGACGCCGTTTTTATTCGATCATACGGTATATATTACATGAAAAATCCTGAAGAAAAAGACATTTCTGCAGTAATAGGTATGTCCCATGTATATTAAAAATAGGTAGTAAATAAACACTATTTCTATATTTTTTAGATGCAAGAAAATTTTGTTATGTGTCTATGATCGGCGATTTTTTTGAAAATGGAATCAATATACAGCAAGGTAAAATCATGTTTATAACATTAGTTATCTACAGTATGTGTGATTTATTGTTAATAATACAATGACTGATACAATCGGATCGTTAATCCCACTAATACAATAAATCTGAATGAAAAGAGTTAAAGTCTCATTTTGCTTCTTTTGGATCTATAAACCAGGTCTCTTTGGGAAGAATGGATGCCTTTTTTAAATAGTATATTAATATTTTATATTGATATTTTTACACTGTTAATTTTAGTTTAAAAAATGTGTTTTTTTGTTTAAAGGTTTTTGTATAAGGTTCCCGTTTTCATGTTCCTGTCCCCGTTTTCTGCCCCTGAAGGCTGTGAATACGTGTATTTATTTACAAATTACTGCAAGTCATGCTTCTACCTTACTGATTTACGTTAAAATTGCATATCATTAAATAATTGATATTGAAATAATACAATTCTCTATTTTTTATATTTATTTAGTCACGTTGTCTCATATTTCATATAAATATGTTTGAATAAATTTTTATTTTGTTTTATTTATGATGAGAAAAAATACAAAATACATTTAAACTTAAAGAGGGCACGCCATTGAATAACCGAAAACGGAAACAAAAATGAAACCATCATGTCAACATGTCAATTGGAAAATTAGTTTTCCAGACGACCACAATGGCTTTTGCTGGCGTATCGTGTTTCCACGATTTAACCAGAGTTGACACTTCTTTCTAGTTAATTATTTTATGGCCTACCATGCATGAATGCATAATATATGGTATTATACTCCTTTCTTAATCTTTTGTAACCAATTGTAAAATAAACAAGAAATAACTTAAAAAAACAAACTAGTCTAATTAAAACTCAAACAAAATTGTCAAATAAGAATGTTACATTTATGTATGACATTTGACTCATACCTTAGTCTTTTTATTCAATGTAGACACTAAATAAATAATCATCAGTAACAGAAATACTTACAATAACATCGAATTTGGCATAGATGTCTACCAAACGCCCTTCAGGATCCACTATAGGTAGAGCAGAGACTCGCCGTTCTACAAACTTTTTCAAGGCTAAGATTATAGAGGTTTCTTGTGAGGCAGTTTCGATGTTGTCGTAGCTGCCGATTCGCAGGTCTTTGATGGTCTTGTTCATATAACTGGGTTTGGGCAGTTCGTTAATCTGTAGTAATAAAAAGATGCGTTAAATCTATCTAATACTGTTTAGGATTTACGTAAAATTACTCTAAAATCTGTAAAAACAAATAGCCCTGATAGTTGTCTGACTATTAATGGAAAAGTAGATTATGGTTTCTGCTTTTTTTATGTAATTTGTTGAAATTATATAGCAGAAATCATATAGAGTATTTAGTGATGGCTATGAAATGAAGATCGCTGTCATTTTATATGTAAAATTATACATATAGAGAATGTCATCGATCGTCAATTCCCAGCCAACTGGACGCCGTTTTTTCGATCATACGGTATTTCAATGCTAAAGCGAATGGAGATAGTGTAAAAATCTGTCATAGTCCTTTAAGGGTACCTACTTTCCATTAGGGCAGAAGGTAGTTTCTCACATTTTTTTTTATTTTAATGGATAGAAATATACAGAGTGAGTCTTAAATAAGTGCAAATATTTTTATGGGTAGTATATTTGATAATGAGTTTTTTGGCGAAAATGTTTTTTTTAATTTTTTTGGAAAAAAATAGTATTTAGTTAAAAAACATAATTTCTTGGTAATATGGCAACGTAGGTAATAGATTAAAATTACAAGTTACAAAAAAAACAGAAAAGATCCAGTGGTTCTCAAAATTTAAGCAAAAAATTATTATTTTTGTTTTAATTTTCAAAGTGTCCGTTATTTTGGACTTATTTGAAAAACGGTAAAGAGAAAATATGTTTCTCTTATCGAGATCTACCAGCCCTGAAAATATTTGCACTTATTTAAGACTCATCCTGTATAGAAACCGTGAAGATATTATATTTTAGAGGTTACGATATGTCAATTCTAGTATTAGCAAAGTCATAAGATGTAAGGGAATATTCTGTAAGTAATTAGTAGGAATTCGAACAGAGTTTATTAAAACAATTAACAGTGTGTATATTACAATGTTAATTGTTTTAACAAACACACATATGCTACTAAAAGTATACAAGATATGTTCCAAGTTATATTGGCTATTTATACTATATTGGCTGTAAAGGCATGCAAGGGCTGTAAATTCCTCAGGATGGGTTCATAGAACTCATGAAAGTCCTATGACTATTTACTTTTACTTGTAGTATCACCCACTGAAGCTTGGGACACTATTTTTACACCATGTAAAGATATATGTATGATAAATACAATCGAAATATAAATATATCAGAGATATCCCTGCTCTTCATAATATGTTGCTGCCTTCTTTAGAAAATACAATTAATTTTAAAATATGATCAACACACTTTTTTTAAATAAAAGTGTGTTGGCTATTTTAAAATATGATAACAGTTTTTTTTAAATAAAAGTGGTTTAAAAAAGGTAAAAATTATAAAATCATTTACATTTTAGGGAAAGACATGATTTTACGTATGATTTTTTAGAAATTTGAAGTAAAGCAAATTGTTCTTTTTGTGTAGGTTAAGCCGCGTACACATCTAAGCAAACGAACCGAATGAGCACTTTGAGCCGAATGAGCATTAAAATGTAGACGGACACACGTACTGCGCCGAACACGCTCATGCGGTGCGCCAGCCGATACGAGAGTTGTCGGTCCATCAAAGGAAATTCGTGCTCAGTCTGACGGGTTTTTAGTAGCGTGTAAACGCACACTGAACGGCCCCGTACGACTTGGATTTTTCGCAAGACAGATGTTTATTGTAATGTGTGTAATTAATCAAAGAATTCGAGAAAAGGCCTATTTTATGGAAAGTTAAACATGAGCTGTATTTCAATAAAATTAAAAAAGAAGATGCTTGGAGGGAAATTGCTGAAAAACTAAAGAGGGACGTCGCGTCGGCGAGATTCAATAAAAAAACTGTTAAGGCTCCAATCTCGACTTCTTTGAAGATATAATTGTGAAGACCATCTAGTACGACGTCGTCGTCTCTTTTTCTTTAGCAACACATAAATAACTATGAACGCAGCACTAGCTACTCCTAAATGTTCCATGTTTCTCACTAAATTCGGACACAAACACTGGAGCGCCTCTGAATGCAGGCTCATGCGGTTCTGTGCGGAAAAAACACAATTCGCCGGAATGAATGCGCATTTGGCTCAGTGTTCATTCGGTTCGTTTGCTCAGATGTGTACGCGGCTTTAGATGATTTTCTTTCTTTAATTATAAAATATTCTTTTTTTAAATAAAAAATTTGATACTCTTAAGAAAAGTTGTAATATATTTGTTTTTAATGTCTTGAGAATGAGAAGTACAATAAACACTTTGAAAAACTTACATATAAAAACAGGAACCTAAGTATCCTTTTGTGAGTGAGTATGTATAAGACGTTGCCTGTTTCCGGATCTATCACAGGCAACCTGTGAATTCGATTATGAATCAGCACCTAAAATATTAAAATAAAACATATAAATTATCTTTCAATTTATGCACAAAAATTTATTTATAAACCGAATTATTTCTTATTCTTACTTTTATGGCATCATAGAGAGACGCATCCGGTCCGATGTTGATCAAAGGCCTGGCGTCTTCCAGCACTCGCCTCCATGTGTCCAGCTTGTGCTCTTCCAACTCCTCCATGGCAACGCTGGGTGACTTGTAATACATTCGCAGGATCTTGATGAAATCGGTGATGGTGAGCATACCCACGAATTCCTGCTTCTGGCTGTTCCAGAGAGGGGCTGCTCGAACTCCTTTAAAACACAAACAACAAGTAGGTTAGCCAATAAATATTAAGAATTAAAAAAATACTAGTATAAAAATAAATTATGTGCAACGAGGGAGACATGACGTCATCAGGGTTGCCAACTCTGAAAGATGGATACCCGCTAGATTCGTATATTAAAAACCGCTAGAATCCGCTAGGGGTGATATTGAACCTGAAATTGTGCTTTTTCGTCTATTTTTGAACCTTTTATTAAGGATTTCATCGCCAGATAAGACGAATTTAGTTCTAGGCCTAGGTACCATAAGAATAATATCTGATTATTACGCGATTATTGATGTAAATTTTGAAAAAAAAAACGTTTTTTAGAATTAAAATAATAAGTTTTGTCAATTTTACTTATATTTTAATCAAAAATGTAAACCGCTAAAAAACCCGCTAGTCGCTAAATAATATTTTTTTCGCGCCAAACTGAAAAATAAACCGCGGAACAGTGCACTTTTAGTGTCATTTTTTAGAGGTTATAATTAGGTTTTTTAGAGGTTAAATACATATAATGTCTTTTAAATGCATTTGACATAATTGTCAACTTGTCAATGAGAAATAGAAAAAAAAATAATTTAATTAAATTTAATTTTATTTTTATTATTAACCTGCGTCGAAAAAATACCAAACCAAACACAAAATGTGCAAAGGAAGGTATTTGGGTGTTACGAATTGGTGAAATTATTATTGTGTGTGATCTGTTTTATAATAAATACAGCATCATAAAATTCTATATTTTAATTATTAGTAAAATATATAAAAATAATATTCTATAATTTGTATAACATCTGTATAATTTAACAGTTACTTATTAAACTTATTAACAAGTTACTTATGTATTTCATTTTAAATGCCAATTCGATAATGAAAACGCATTAATCTTGCTATTTGTTTTTCTATCTTATTTGTATTCAAAGATTACGTGCACATATGTTTTGATGTAATATCCGTTCAAGATCGGATTCTCTCAGCTGTAGGTGTGTGTATCTAGCCAAAAATAATACCCCGGTTTTATACAGTGCCTCCGTCTCTGAAGTGGCTCCAATATCTCTGTTGTTTATTTGTACACGCACACCCACGACACGTTACATGTTCGATACATAAACAAAGCTATGTTAACTAAATATACTGTATTTTAGAAGAAAGACCGGTTTGGATATCTATAGAAAAAATAGAATTAGTAACAAGAATATAAACAAATGAGTTATATCATTCTAGCAATTAAAGAACTGATATTTTGAAAAAATTAAACACCCATAATATTAAAAAGCATCTTGTTGCAAGCATCATAACGTTGCACCTAGGGTTGGAACTTTATTTTTCACAATTAGTTATTCATTTTACTACAGCTGTAATACATTATATTTAGTTTAGATCTATTATCTTCATTTCAGTAATATACATGAAAGCTTTTAAAATAGTTTATTTTTTCTACACACGTAAAAAGCGGCGAAATCGTATGCCGCTTTTTATTTGGTCCCTCTGCCTGTCAACCGGTGATTTATATCTACATATCTCTAACGAGTGCATTAAAATACAGACCACGTAGGTAAAGTGTCCAGGATGGTATATGTATTAAGTGTTAAATGATAAGCATAATGCGAGTAAAAATCTACCTAAACAGGGTGGTCCGAATTGTATTCCGGAAACTTCGGCAACATATTCTGCAGATAAAAATAAGTAAAAAAGTTCGTATAAATTTATGTCCTAAAATGCTTAGTTTCGGAGATACAGGGTGTGGAAGTTTCATTTTTATTTCGATTTTTTCCAAATCATTTCTGAAGTAACGTCAATATTTGGATGAAAATTGGTGGGAGATTTTAGACGTGAGAAATTTGATTTTGATGTCAATATGTCTCCTACTTCTAGAGGGCGCCACCTACATATATTTTAATTGGTTTGAAGAGTACTTACTTTTCGTCCGTACCTGTATAAAACTAAGTAAAAAATATACGTTTACGACATTTTTTACGTAAAAAAGGTCTCTTGGTAAAAATCGCAACGAGTAATGGTTTTCGAGATATTTGGAATCAAAAATGTCAATACCTGTCATCATTGACATAAATTAAACATGTTGACTAAATAGTTATTAGACTGAAATAAAAAATTTGAAATGTTTTTTTGCCAAAAGTTTGTTTAGAAGAAACCAGAAACTGTTTTATCATCATTTTTTCGAAGAAAAATTTATAATTAACTTAAGAAGATAAAAACATCCCAAATTTATTATTTTAGTCAAGTAACTATCTACTCAACGTGTTTAGTTTTCGTCAATAATGACATGTAGTGATTGACTATTTCCATTCTAAATATATTGAGAACGGTTGCTCGTAGCGATTTTTACTAAGAGATATTTTTTACGTAAAAAAAATCACGAAAATGTATATTTTTGCATTCAGTAGTTTTATACAGGTACGGACGAAAAGTTATGACTCTTCAAACCAGTTAAAAAATATCTAGGTGGCGCCCCCTACAAATAGGAGTCAGAGGAGTCAGAACCAAAAAACTCCCAGACACATTCAAATATTGACGTTGCTTCAGAAATTATTTGAAAAAAATCGATATAAAAATGAAATTTCTACACCCTGTATCTCCGAAAGTAAGCATTTTAGAACATACATTTATAGGAACTTTTCTACTTATTTTTATCTACAGAATATGCTGCTACACGAAGTTTCCGGAATGCAGTTCGGACCACCCTAAATAACACAATTGCATTTTACTTGAGAGAGACATTTTGCGATGAATAATTACCAAGAAAATATATATGAATTATAAAAATAAATGAATGAAATACGATATTCCATTCTATTTATAAAACCAAACGTGTTTTTGATATATTGACAGGCTGTCGAAATTTCAGTTCAAATCGAGTCTGGCAGCATGCTGTGCTGTTTTTGCATACGAAAGAAAAAAATACCATTCCAACTAATTAGCAATTTGGCATCTTAAACATGTAAAGTTGTGAATATTATAATTGGACGGTGCACACCAGAAAATATGTAATTTGTCAACATAAATTTAGAAAAATGCAAGGGATAGGCGAAACTGACAAAAATATAGTACAACAAATAAGTTTGTATAATTTATACTTTTGCACTACCCGAATAAGAAAGTTACAATGGTTATATTTATTTTTTTCCAGGCAGTGTCGTATTTCCCATTACGCACAATAGGGCGTAAAGCGGCAACATTTTAGGGGCGGTAAATTTTCAGAAAAAAAAATACGATAAATTGCGGCAAGTTGTTGCATAATAAAAAACCAGCAGTTCGAGCGGAGGCAACTGGGATTAAAAATCGCCTAAACCGATTCGAAACTGCCTTTATGTCAGTTTTTTGGAAAAACATATTAGAGCGATTCTATAAAACCAACAAAGTTTGAAACATACCTAGGCAAGGCAAAAAAATATGGAGAAAAAATACGATAACGACCGTCAAAAAAATCGAAAAAGAACACTTTTCCCAGGCGAAACAAAAGATGGAGATACAATTTTAACAGGGAGGGAGCAGCTAAAAATTGAAACGTATTTTGTTATACTGGATAGGGTTACAATGGAACTGCAGAAACGTCCAGAGGCGTACGACGCGACAGCGTGTTTAAAAAGTTTAGATTATTTTTTGATTTCAAAGAAATTTCCCAGGAACAATTAATACAAAGCACCAAAAACTTACAAACATTCTATAAGGATGACCTGGAAGATGCTTTTAAAACAGAATGCTTACATTTTTTAGAAATAGTAAAAGAGACCGATATTCAATGCACACTGTCAAACATGCTTTCATATATTCGAACTCAAAATTTGGAAGCAGTTTTTCCAAATCTGGAAATTGCTTTACGGATATTTGTATCCATGGCGGTTACAGTGTGCTCAGCGGAACGGTCATTTTCCACACTTAAACGATTAAAATCCTATTTAAGGGCCACTACGGAACAAGATCGTTTAAATGCCTTAGAATTTAGAATTTTAGAATTTAGAATGAGTGGGAGGGGGGTTAATCACTTCGACCTTACAGATCCATTGTGTCCCCCTTTCTTGAATCATAACTCATCATACAGTCCCAGGGCTTTGACAAAAGCCAGTATCTGGGACGGTTTTATAGAGGGTAGTTCTCCATCTCCAATATCAGTCGTACCAAAATTCATGGCACGAATGGTTGTCGTCTCGGCGCACTCAGTGATGAGGTGTACTGGTGTTTCACCATCTTCCCCACAGAATCTGCATTCGCCGTTTCTTCTTAGTTTCAATCTACTGAGGTGTTCATTGAGGAGACAGTGTCCTGTTAAAACCCCGTGACAATCCGAAGATTGTTCTTACTCAGACCCAGGAAGATCTGTGATTTTTCTTGATCATAAGCCCTCAGAAACTTCTTCGAGTGTCCTAGACCATTGCAAGATTTCCATTCCAGGTTGCGGATGGAATCTTCCAAGTTCTTGAGTTCCGCCTTGAGTTGGTTACCACTTGGAAAGCAGAACGGTTCTGGTCCAGTTAGTGGAGTGTTCGCTCCTTTCCTAGCTAGATTATTTGCTTTTTCATTGCCTTTAAAATGCCTTAACAATATTAACAATAGAATCAGATTTAACTACAAGTATAAATTTTGACAAACTTATTGATTTGTTTGCTGACATTAAATCCCGGCGTAAATTATATTATTTGTTTTTATTTCTACGAATTCATTTGTTGTTTTCTTATAAAACAATAAATTTTCAATATAACATTTTTGTTGTTATAGCGAATATAAGGGCGGCATTTTTTTTAAGTGACGTAAGGCGGAAATTTGGCAATCTTTGGTCATCCACAGAAGCAAATCCCTCAAGTAGCAATGGACAGGAAATCTGACACCTGGCGAGAAGGACAGATAACAGGTGGACTACAAAAATTACAGCATGGTACCCACGAGGAATTAAGAGACCTAGAAGAAGACCAAACCTCAGATGGGACCATGCTATTAAGACATTAGCAGAAATAACTTGGGCCTAACTACGAAGAGAGCAACCAAATATCTGAGGGAGGCTACACGATAATTGGAAATGGTTGAATAAGATGATGAAACGATTACCAAAGTAGGTGCAATATTTCATAGTATGCCACAATAAAATAATAATAGTATGACATAATAAATATAACCATAAAATTTGGTTATAACTTTTAAAACTATAATTACTTGTTATAAGGATATTACTTACCATTGTATACTAGAGCAAAAAAGGCCTTTTTTACGAGTAACTGAGTATCGAAGACAACTAGCTTCGCCGATGTAGGAATGAGATCGTAACATTTGTGAAATTTGAAGAACTTGACGAAAATCTGGGATTCATCTTCTTCTGAAAATAAAATAAATATATTAGTTTTCAAATTTATGTAGAGTAGATATAGAAATAAATTGAAATATTTGGTTAATCGACTCGATTTTTTTTTTGGTTTGGTTTACATTTAAAACATTGACATGACATTATTGTGGAATGCATCTCTGACTTAAAAGCTTTTCAATTTGCCATAAGTACATCAACACAAATATACGACTATCGAATACATTGCCAAAAAGTTGTAACTCAAAATATAAAAATTAAACACACTATTATAAAACAAATAATAAATTTAGAAGATATATTGCATTATAATAACCAAATCAAATTTTAGTTAGCTCAGCTAAAAGGATAATAATAAAATTAATTTATTATGAACTATAAATTGTTTTGAATTATTGTTTGAAATTCTAATCTAAAATTTTAATAAATCATACACTAAATAGATAAAAATGATAAAACTTCGAACAATATCTAATAAAATGTATCAGTTTCATCTTGTCCAAAAATTAATCTATTAAAGACAAATTCGCTAACCTTTTTTGAGGAGACTGCAAAGCCATCTTCTAAATATTCCAGAAATGGGATGAAATTCATTGATTTCATTTTTATTATAGAAGTTAATTCCATCTTGAATCATTTTAAAAATAGTTTATATCAATAATTCACACAAATACTATAAACAGACTTTCAACGTATAACCACTGTTAAAAACAAATTCGAATGGTATTTATCTTTAAGAAGTAACAATATCTGTTAGTATTTCTAATCTTTAGATCGATTTTTCTAGTATCTTGGAATTACTATATCATTTTTAAACATTGACTCATTTTTATCATGAAAGTTCAGCGAAATTATTGTTTATAAATTTAATTAAATACTGATGTGTTTGAAGATGGATTAAAGGTATGATAACAATTGAAGCCTAAATTTAAATTATTCTGAAAAAGAGCATACGTCATTTAATACCGAAAGGAATTAGATATTGAATAAATTTTCGCAGTTAGATGATATAGGTCTATAAAAATAGTAGCATTTTTAAGTTTTCTGAAGTTATCTATTTTTCAGTTATCAATATCTCATATGGAAAGAATGTAAATTGATAAAGTTCCCTATCTAGAATAATTCAGTTCTCATTTACATTTATTCTATTATAGTTTTCAGGTGACATCTGCCCAATTCTTATACCGGGTGAAAAGTGGCTCACCCCTATAACTTTTTTATACTTCCAGATAAATAAACGAGATTTGGTATGTTAGTATATGATATAAATTAGGATTGATTGACGTATTTAATTGTTTTCGGTCACTTCCTGTTTCACCGGAAATAACTACAACTTTTGATTTTTAAATAGCACCCTCGGTATTTTTTTACTTTATTCGATAGAAAATGACATTTTGAATAGAATGATATATCATATATCAACTTTTGATATTCTCGCTTAAAAAATAATCGTATTTTAAACTTCAAACTAGAGTGTCATGGATGTGTTAAAAACACTAATTTTTAATCAATGAACCTTGGCAAAATAAATTTGATCGTCAAATGTTTTTTTGTGTCTTGTCCTGACCGGTTAAAAGATGCCCAAATCGTATTTTTAATCATATCTCAATTTTTTCAACTAGTATATTTAGACTCACTAGCATATTTGGAGTAAGAATTTTTTTAGAAATAATTTGGTACCACAACTTGGTATTTCGAGTCAAATTGTCATTATAAATCGCATGTTACAATTTCAAATAAACCATATGCGAAAATGTGAAAAGTTGACATATGATATGTCATTCGATTGTGAGTGTCATTTTCTATCGAGTAACGTAAAAATACACAAAGCGTTCCGTTAAAAAATCAAGAGTTATTTCCGGTGAAACAAGAGTAATTAAAACAATTGAATATGTCAATCAATCCTAATTTATGTCATGTGCTAAGCATACCAAATCCCGTCTTCTTATCTGAAAAAATAAAAAAGTTGTAGGGGGTGAGCCACTTTCGAGACGCACCCGGTATATACCAAATGAACGCTAGAACTAGATAATATACAAATACTACGCATTAGTTAACATTTATTCTTAATGTTATACATAATTCCTGATGATCATACCTGATATGGTTATAACAAACAATTTTTACAATTTTTTTTTGATTTTGCGAATAAATTCTAAAAATCAATAATTTTATTTATGTATACATTGTGTCTTAAAACTAAATATTTTGAATTTAAAGAAATATGTTTATTTTTACATAGGCGGTTCATCTCATATGGTACATCAAAAGGATTTTGACAGCTTTTTCGAGGCGTATACATATGTTGTAGCTGTAATATCTACTAATCCTAAGAGTCCTACAGATGAATGTAACCAGAAACTTTTGATTACATCTTATACAAGATATTTGGAGCAATTGAAAACATCTGAGACTCTTTAAAGCTCTTTCACTGTATAGTAAATAAAAGTAAAGAAATCTAAACATTTTTGTTATTCGCTGCTCTTATTAAGGCATAGGGAAGTAGTAAATAGTTTTTTTAAAGATCTGGTTATGGCTGAAAACACGCATGCCAAATTTGAGACATTTTATGCAAGCCGTTTTTAACTAATTTAAGACAAACTGCATTTATTTTTAAATTAAAACTGAACAGATAACAATGCCAACATGCCTTAAATTGTCAACTTATAATTTTGTCAATATCAAATTATAGTTCTTAAACTTCAGGCTTTTGTCTAATTTGAACAAGTTAGACCAAAATGCATATCGGGCACACTAACCGTAGGTACTATAAGATAGTAGCGTAGAGAGCACAACAAATTACATTCGATCATAGTATGTCAACTTAAGGCAAGTTGACATTGGTCTGGTTTTGCACTGTTACCTGCTCAGTTTTAATTCAAAAATAAATGCAGCTTTTCTTAAATTAGTTAAAACCGGTTTGTCAAAAATTGTTCAAATTTAACATGTATATTCAGCATACGCAGAGCTTTAATAAATCTATATACGATTTCGCTGTAAAATCAGCAGAGAAGCCAATATTTGGACAGTTCAAAATTTGCATGAGATTCCTTATGTTTTCAACGCCGATACAACACCCGGTATATTATGGGTGTTTAGTAGGTTTTAGTAGGTTTTACAATTAAGTTGCTACCAGTTTTCTTACACACCAAATGACGTAAAGTCATCTAATATAATTAGTTAAAAACATGGTCCTATTTCAATTGATATCTAACCTTTTTCTAGAACTTCTCCCAACCACTCCTTGTAGTTTTGCGAGATCTGCTCGAACTCCTTGATCTGATCTACGCGATAGACTTCACCCTCTTCGGCGATAGGGGGCAGCACTAGGCGGAAGTGGTTCGAGTAGAGGTGCAGACGTAACATGAGACCGAGGCCAAATAACCAACATTGCGCGCACCAATATCAAAAACCGAGCGGAACACACGGAAATCCAACATTGGCAGCATAGAAGTTGTTTTAGATGTATTTGGAGGTTTCGACGTTAAGATATACCTATATCTTAAATGTTCACTTATGACGCGTTCCGAAATATTTTGTTAATAAACATATTTAAGATTTTTCACTTTTAGAATGCACTTCTGGCAATGCTATTTATCCAGTCTTAAAGATTCTGAAATTCTACTTTCAATAAATTTAATGAAAAACATATACACTAACCGGCACGAAAAAGTGGCACCTTAAAATTTTGATGTATTTCAAAGTTTAATATATTTTGTTCTAGTGGGTCGATTTTAATATTTTTTAAAGCAGTTTGTAGCTAAATTATTTGACTTTTTAGTATTGCTTTCTAAATTAAAATTGAATGTTTCCATCTGTCAATTATACGAAGGTATACAAAATGTTGATATTATGGTGAAAGTTTGAAACACCCTGTGGAATATGATAACAAAGTAAAGAATTTAAAAATTATTTTATTATCTAGGTACGTCTTTTCTCGATAGTTTGTTTTTTTATTAATCTCAATAGCTTTATTTTTATTGGAGATATTGGCTTTTAAATAAGACAGCAACAATTTACAGCAATTTTAGTATTGCTTTTAGGTCCTCATCAACACACTTATAAAATAGTATTTATTGTTTTTGTAATGTTACTGTCATTGAAAAGTCATATTATTATTTTATATTGACGTTTACTCTAATAGAGATGGTTTTAAGTTCTGATGTATAGGCTATTGTTGCTCTAATTATTGATCATGGCAGAGATCAACTTTTGGACTTAAAACCGTACCTATCTGCTAAAGTTGGCTAGAGTAACTGCCTCACAGGCAATAATAATATAATATTTTCAAAGATAGTGATATTACAAAATCATAATCACTAGGACCAAATCAAAGGCATGGTTTTAATGTAACACGAAAAAATGTTACTATCTTCTTCAAAGGCGAATATCTCCAAAATAAATAAAGCTATTGACACGAATCAAAAAACAAACTATCAAAAAAAGATACATCCAAAAGATAAAATAATTTTTAAATTCCTTGTATTGTTAAGTTATTCCACAGGGTGTTTCAAACTTTCACCAAAATATCAACATTTTGTTTTCCCTCCTATAATTGACAGATAACAATTTTCATTTTTAACTTAGAAAAAGAACGTAAAAACTTAAATAATTTAGCTACAAATTGTTTAAAAAATCATTAAAATCGTTCAATTAGAACACAACATATAACACTTTAAAATAAATGAAAATTTTAAGGTGCCTGTTTTTCGTGCCAGTGAGTGTATATTTCCAATAATCCTTAATTAAATTTTAATAATTTAAATAAAGATAATAGCTATTGTAAGAAAAACGATAAGTTTTCTGCGAAATCTTTGTATTAATCAAATTAAAAATAGACCTGGAAATTTCATAATACAGAGTTATCTTGGGTAATATTAGATATTAATAATAGAATTATAAGCAGGGGGAGATTTTGATTAAAACAACGGGAAACATTTTAAAATATGAGAAAAGCTAATCTTATATTTAGTAGCCTTGAATTTATCTACGGTTGTTATAATCTAATTTTAATC